CGTATTCCTCATGCTTACACATGGTACAATCCACTTTCCATATTAAGAAACTTCCCTTTCAGTGTATACATTTGTGAACATAGCATCAGTTGAAAGACATTCATTTCCTTGTAAAGAATATGCCAACTGTACACTTTGTTTCATTAACAGTTGAGTGTTGCATTGCACTCTAACCCTAACATTCTCTGACTTCAAAAAATACATTATGTAATTATTATGAAAATGAATAAAGAACAATGATACTAAATTAAACAGTAAAAATTTAGTTTTCAGTATGTATATATGATCCTGGATCACAAAACCATTTAGCCAACAATACATTGTATGGATCAAAATTATTGATTTTATTGTATGCCAAAAAGCATTAGGATATTAAGTAAAGATCATGTTCCATTAAGATATTTTGTAAATTTCCTACCATAAATATATAAAATGTATTTTTGTAAGTGGATGCAGCAACTTCATTTGGACAACTCTAAAGGCGTAAGATTTTTGCAACCTAAGACTCCATATGTTCAAATAGTTGTATCTCTGCCAAATATTGTCATATCCAAACAAACCATACACCAATGGAAAGCTTATCTATTTAGCTTTTGGATGATATATAAATCTCAATTTCAAGAAATGTACCCTCATGAGTGGTTTTGTGGTCCAGGGTTCTGTTCAATTCAAGTGTATTCTAGTTCCCCCTGCTTCTCTGACTCGTTCAATCTTGGTTTTGCTCGTCTGTCATGGTGACATATGTTTAGTTGGCATCTGTCCCAGCTCCCATGTGGAGTCGCTCTTGCTCTGGATGCTGCGTTGCTATGGAGAACAGCTTGCAATCACAATAGCACTACCGTAGTGTGCAGGTGATTTCTAAACAGCCCTTTCACCGACTGCCCAGGGCCTCATACACACTACGGTAATAGTAGACAGGAATCGATGTGTAGCATGTTGTAAGGTGCTTGGTCGTGTTCAATATGCTGAGCTTCAGCAGGAGAAAATTAAAGATGTGTTTATGTAGGTTTTTGAGAGAATTCAGTCTCAAGTGTAGTGTTTAAAGAAAGCTGTTTATTATTAGTGCCATTGAATATTCACTATGAATTGCTGCAGGCGTGACGTATTTTTGTAGGCCAAAATCCAGGGTTTGCATTTTAGCACTTCCGGTTCCATCGGCCGAAATTTAATGAGATTTTGGTTAAATGCCTGAAAGGTCAAGATATTTTTATGGATTATCCTACACCAGTAAAACCACCCCACGTGTAAGAATCAAAACCATTTGTTGGTCACAGAGATTATTCTCGAAATTTAATGAATTTATTCTCAAAATTGTATTTCGACTTTTTTTCTTGAAATTTATCAAGTTTGTTTTCTCGCAACACAATGACTTTATTCTCGGAAATTAATGAGTTTATTCTCAAAATTGTATTTTGACTTTTTTTCTCGAAATTTAACGAGTTTTTTCTCGAAACACAACGACTTTACTCTCAATGTTTATTGAGTTTATTCTCAAGATTGTATTTCGACTTTTTTCTCGAAATACAACAACTTTATTCTTGGAAATTAATGAGTTTATTCTCAAGATTGTATTTCGCCTTTTTTTCTCGAAATTTAACACGTTTTTTCTCAAAACACGACTTTATTCTCAATATTTAATGAGTTTATTCCCAAGATTGAATTTAGACTTTTTTTCTCAAAATTTAACACGTTTTTTCTTGAAACACAACAACTTTATTCTCGATATTTATTGAGTTTATTCTCAAGATTGTATTTTGACTTTTTTCTCGAAATACAACAACTTCATTCTGGGAAATTAATGAGTTTATTCTGAAAATTGTATTTCGACTTTTTTTCTCAAAATTTAACACATTTTTTCTTGAAACACAACAACTTTATTCTCGATGTTTATTGAGTTTATTCTCAAGATTGTATTTCGCCTTTTTTCCTCAATTTAACATGTTTTTTTCTCTAAACACAACAACTTTATATTCAATATTTAATGAGTTTATTCTCAAGATTGTATTTCAACTTTTTTTCTTAAAATTTTATCAAGTTTTTTTTTTCTCGCAACACAACGACTTTATTTTCGGAAATTAACGAGTTTATTCTCAAGATTGTATTTCGACTTTTTTTCTCGAAATTTAACACGTTTTTTCTCAAAACACGACTTTATTCTCAATATTTAATGAGTTTATTCCCAAGATTGAATTTAGACTTTTTTTCTCAAAATTTTACGACTTTTTTCTCGAACACACAACGACATTATTCTCGATATTTAATGAGTTTATTCCCAAGATTGTATTTCAAATTTTTTCTAGAAATTTAACAAGTTTTTTCTTAAAATACAACAACTTCATTCTCGGAAATTAATGAGTTTATTCTGAAAATTGTATTTCGACTTTTTTTCTCGAAATTTAACACGTTTTTTCTTGAAACACAACAACTTTATTCTCGATATTTATTGAGTTTATTCTCAAGATTGTATTTCGACTTTTTTCTCGAAATACAACAACTTCATTCTGGGAAATTAATGAGTTTATTCTGAAAATTGTATTTCGCCTTTTTTCTCAAAATTTAACATGTTTTTTTCTCTAAACACAACAACTTTATATTCAATATTTAATGAGTTTATTCTCAAGATTGTATTTCAACTTTTTTTCTTAAAATTTGATGAAGTTTTTTTTTCTCGCAACACAACGACTTTATTTTCGGAAATTAATGAGTTTATTCTCAAGATTGTATTTCGACTTTTTTCTCTGTAAAAAATGATTTTTTGGTTAAGTAAATACTAGTGAAAAACCCCAATGTAATTTACTTGAAAAAGTTAGTTCAGGCAAGAATTTAAAAAACTAAGTAAATTCCATATCAGTACTTATTTCAAGCGAGTATAAATGAAAGTGTAATATCAACTCAATAAAATTAAGTAAAAATTACTCAACTTTTCTGATACTGGGGTTCCCATCATGCACTGGACCTTGAATAATTAATGAGGTTCATTTTTCACTGGTTTCCAGCTGCATTTACACTGTTTTATCATTGATTTTTGTTTTCAGTATTAGTAAATTGCCATTTTGTGACATTTCGAGTAAATTTTTTGCTTAAAACGACACATTCAAACACAAAAACGATCTATCAAATGTTACCACCATTGTGTATTGTCTACCAAGTATTGAGGTGTTTGCATTCACATAAGGCTTAAAGTCTGACATGATGTATATATAAATTACTTAGATGATCTAAGTAAAGAACATACTATAAATGACTAATAAAATTCAAGATAATTGTTTTAGTGAAAATTAATACAAAGGCAAAGGAAATCGGTATTAATCAACCTTTTACAAGCCGAGTTAAAATTACTTATTTTTTTGTAAAGTTTACTTAATTCCACATTCCAAGTAAATTTAACTTAAAGATTTCTAATTAAAGCTACTGATAAATATTTTTATGTTTTTACTTGGCAAATCTTTGTAAATTTACTAGCATTTTCTGAGTGAGATGGTTTAGCAAGGTTTTTTCAAGTAAATCCTACTCCAAATTTTTTACAGTGTAAATTTAACAAGGTTTTTCTCGAAACACAATGACTTTATTCTCGATGTTTAATGAGTTTATTCTCAAGATTGCATTTCAACTTTTTTTCTCAAAATTTTACGAGTTTTTTCTCGAAAGACAACAACTTTATTCTCAATATTTAATGAGTTTATACCCAAGATTGTATTTCGACTTTTTTTCTCGAAATTTTACGAGTTTTTTCTCGAAACACGACTTTATTCTCAATATTTAATGAGTTTATACTCAAGATTGTATTTTGACTTTTTTTCTTGAAATTTTACGAGTTTTTTCTCGAATCACAACGACTTTATTCTCAATATTTAATGAGTTTATACTCAAGATTGTATTTCGACTTTTTTCTCGAAACACAACGACTTTATTCTCGATATTTAATGAGTTTATTCTCAAGATTGTATTTCGACTTTTTTTTTTAAACACAACGACTTTATTCTCGATATTTAATGAGTTTATTCTCAAGATTGTATTTCGTCTTTTTTTCTCGAAATTTTACGAGTTTTTTCTCGAAAAACAACGACTTTATTCTCGATATTTAATACGTTTATTCTCAAGATTGTATTTCGACTTTTTTTCTCAAAATTTAATGAGTTTTTTCTCAAAACACAACGACTTTATTCTCGATATTTAATGAGTTTATTCTCAAGATTGTATTTCGACTTTTTTTCTCGAAATTTTATGAGTTTTATCTCTTAACACAACAACTTTTTTCTCAATATTTAATGAGTTTATTCTCAAGATTGTATTTCAACTTTTTTCTCAAAATTAACGAGTTTTTTTCTCGAAACACAACGACTTTATTCTCGATATTTAATAAGTTTATTCTCAAGATTGTATTTCGACTTTTTTTCTCAAAATTTTACGAGTTTTATCTCTTAACACAACAACTTTTTTCTCAATATTTAATGAGTTTATTCTCAAGATTGTATTTCAACTTTTTTCTCAAAATTAACAAGTTTTTTTCTCGAAACACAACGACTTTATTCTCGATATTTAATGAGTTTATTCTCAAGATTGTATTTTGACTTTTTTTCTCAAAATTTAATGAGTTTTTTTCTCAAAACACAACGACTTTATTCTCGATATTTAATGAGTTTATTCTCAAGATTGTATTTTGACTTTTTTTCTCGAAACACAATGACTTTTTTTCTCAATATTTAATACGTTTATTCTCAAGATTGTATTTCGACTTTTTTTCTCAAAATTTAACGAGTTTAATCACGCATTATAATGACTTTAATCTCGAGGTGGTTTTATTTTTTTGATTACTGCTTGGCCCAAATCCTCTTCCGTAGTTTAATCCAAAAGATAATAAAAAAAAATCCTACTTGTTTGTCATTGAGGGAACCAGGTAATGCTGACTACATGGTTGGCCTACAGAAATATGTCATAGAAATGAATTATGCTTGTTGAAACCTTCTAAAATGGTTGAACACAAACAAATAATAGTTAGCTTCATTTGTAATAAAATCCATACTTTAATATTTTTGATGCCAACCTGTAATATCCAAAAGATTGTGCAGTAAGTACAAAAACAAATTTGAATCCCAAATAATAATGATAAATTAGAATAAATAGATTTATAAATCTACATTTTCACTTTAATTCACAACCAATAGTAAAGATTGTACATTCCTAAAATGATCTGACTTCCCTTTTCAAAAATCATTTCTTGACATGTTCGTGTTTTACAAGAGGACACTATATGATTTGTTGGTGAGAATATTTGGCACACCCCAAACACATTATTTGGTACTTTCACAGAATAACTTAATCGCACAGAAACCATTTAGACATAAAAATAAAATAAAGAATTTTTGGACTATGATGACAACCTCATATATAACTAAACACATTTGAGTACATGAAAAATATATTTGGCACAATAATCATGAGAGTAAAAAACAGTCTAGAACACTAAGAGAAAGTGTGCCACAAGAGACAAACACATCAATGCAACAGAAAAACAAAACAATTTTCAATAATGTGTTGACTTTATCAGCTATAAATATTCAACCATCTCTAATGCATCCACACACACACACACATGCAACTGAGTGAAACGGCATCAAATAGCTGAAATAATACAGCCTGGAATACAGACTTTTGCATGAATGAATCCAACATGAAACCGGTCAAGAACATACATAGGTCATATTTCACCAAACAATTCAAAAAGAAATATTTAAATGCATAGCATCTTAGATTTTGACATCAAAAACAACATCAACAACAAATAAAAAGTCAAGTATTTATCTATCTTGGTCATTTATGCTGATTTTAATAAGAAAGAAAATGTAAAAATGTAATGATGTTTGATGTTATATAGAAAACATGACTATCGCAGCAATGGGAATATATCAAATAAATCCTAAAAGCCCTAAAAAGGCTTAATTTTCTTTATGTAAAATATAATTTCTTATTTGGAATTGATGGTGAAATGTGACCTGGACTTGTTTTCATACATGCAGTGTCGTGATGATCTCACGAGCTCGTGCCGTTCTCCACGGACGTCCTTGTCACAGACTCGAAATTTAAAGGCTTTTGAACTGTAGAGTTGAAGAATCCCTGAACTGAGTCGTGTGTGCGTTGTGTGTCCAGCAGAAGTCTCAGCAAACGCCCGCGTCACGCCATGGTGTATCCGTAACTCCCACAATGCAGTGCAACCAGCAAACGATCACGCAGGACATCCTTGCTGGGGTATTCTGGGAGTTTCAGCATGTTAATGCTGGGAGAGCAGAGAGATAGGTAAATGAGAGTCACACTGGTTTCATTACATGCACTTTTGTTGTGTGTGTTCATCATTATGTTGTGAAACAGGAGCAGAGCCACAGTGCCCTCTAGAGCTCCTGAGCAGCACTGCCCTCACGTCTCACCATGTGCTGGAGGTAGGCAGTAGGTTTGCTGTGTAGGGCACAGCGGCGATAGTAAACTTCTGGAGGCCACTGCCGCCCATCAGGAAAGCAAATCCTCCGTGAGGGACTCTTGAACTGTTAAACAAAAGAAAAAAGGGTATTGTGTTGCTGTTCGAGCCTGAGAAAGCTCCGCTTCTTCTCTATATCAGTGTTTCTGAACTTAGAATTTTTTTTAAAGAATTTAAGACTGATCAAAGTAACCGCGGTTTCAACACACTACTAACTAACTCAACCAGGCCCCGCCCTTTTGTTTTGCATATTAATTATTATAATGAGGAATATTGTGACACGTTCGTTCCTGAAACTCAAGACTACAATGGAGGCGTTTCAGGAACGAACGTGTCACAATATTCCTCATTATAATAATTAATATGCAAAACAAAAGGGGCGGGGCCTGGTTGAGTTAGTAAGTAGTGTGTTGAATCCGCGGTTACTTTGATCAGTCTTAAATAGAGTAAATTCATAAATGTTCATTGTATCAGGGATTTACATCATTTGTAATTATTTAAGTGTTATTATTACTATTGTACATAATAAGTGACTTTCCTCACAAACAAAAAGGTATTTTTAGTAAATAAAATATTTTAAGCAAAGAGGAAAAAAACTAGAACTTTTTTTATTATTATTAATTTTCATTCTTTTTTTCAAGGTTTAATTGTATTGTGGAAGGGAAATAAAACACTAAATTCACTATTTTAACAGCGAATAACTGTAATAGTTAATTTTAACAATATTTCACAGTAATGTCTAGAAAATAACACTTATGTAAAACGAAGAAGATGTGTCCGTGTTTCTGAACTCCTGAAACGCCTCTATTGTAGTCTCGAGTTTCAGGAACGAACACGTCACAATATTCCTCATTATAATAATTAATATGCAAAACAAAAGGGGCGGGGCCTGGTTGAGTTAGTTAGTAGTGTGTTGAATCCGCGGTTACTTTGATCAGTCTTAAATAGTGTAAATTCATAAATGTTCATTCATTTTTTACTGAATTACTGTGTCAGGGATTTACATCTTTTTTAATTATACACTGAAAAAAGTGATTTTGTCGAGTGGTAAATATAATCTGTGGAAACCATATAAAATGTACATGATTATTGCAGGCAGCCAACGAATCCTAAAGTAATGGGTAAATTCTACATATGCTACCCATTCATCAACAGTAAGAATCATCACATAGAAAAATGGAGTAAAATATACCCCCAAAACGTGAGTTTTTTGCTTTAAATTGCGCATGCGTAGGCCCGCGGTTTCTTTTTGAGTGAGTGTGGGCGACGCTGGATCCTCTCTCTGGCTGCCATCGAACAGCAGAAGTGAAGGTAAGCTATTAACATAGGAGTGCATATATTTTTTTTTAATTATGAGACATTACACTTCGCTTTTATTGGGCTTTCGTTTGTTTAACATGTCATTACTTGAAATTAAAGTTTGAATCTGTCGATGGCGTCACCATGGGGAACACATCAAGCCGACGACGGTCGGCCGTTGGGCACAGATTTCAAAGTTACTATCAGATTTAATGTGATTACCTTGACAAATTATACATTATTAAACATATATAAGACTCAGGTTTCAGTATTTGACCACTGTTTCTGAGAAACTTATAGTGACCATATTAATTAATTTCAGGAGTATGCAATAAAAAACAGTCGATGGCGTTTTTAATATGAATTATGTGCGTCATTCATCCGCTCCCATTCATAAATACCTCTGTCGTCGTCATGACAGAGCTCGACCAAACAAGTGCTTTCAGCTCAAAAATATGCAGATTCTGAGAAATATTTATTGATTATTATAGGTTTCTGTCAGATTTCTGTATAACGTTAGAGGAATTATATTTATTGAATACACCAAAATGGGCCGATGTAATCATAGCGCTGGATACTCCTCGGATGTAGTGTGTTTTCAATACACACTGGCAGCCGGCGGGCGTCGTGTGCACATAATTTATAACGCTACTACATAATATATCACGAAGAAGAGCCACATGACCTGTGACACCTGAAACCACAACAAAGTTTCCAAAGATCGCTGAATACTTACAGATAACATGATTGCAACGATATATGACGCATTATTTGTGTTCTTCAAGCCATGCAGATAACTTCATAATATATTACATTTATAAAGTAAGTTAATGTTAATCGATATAATCTTGATAGTCCAGAATACTATAAAATACAATATTTTATGTCCGTTTTTTTTATCCAAAGCCAAGTCAGATCACAGAAGGTTATTTAAAGCAATCGACATGCATTATGTAATTTTGGAGCAAAAACATGGTTTTATAATCTCATAAATTGTAGTGTATTGATGTGTGCTAAGCTAACATGCTACCTAACCCTCAGAATGCACCTGCCATCTATAGCTGTTATATTTATGTTTTTTTTTTTTTTAATAGGATGTTTACTGAAATGTTTCTTTTTTTAATTTACAGTTGATAGCCTACAGTGTCAACAGAAGTGAAAACGGATCAAAGAAATTGAAGTGGTCAGCCTCAGCCCCTCTGTGGGTGTGTTTATTCTAAAGTGGCCAGCATTATTCACTGAAGCTCAGGTGAGAATTTCTTGTAATTTTTACTTACCACTAGTATACATTCATGTGAATACTATGAGAGCTGGTCTTTAATTTAAAATGTAAATTTTAACTTCCTAGATCAAGGAGGACTTTAGACGCATCACAACATATTCCTTGGAGGAGACATTCACACGGAAGCTTGATGAGTACTCACGAGGTCTTTTGCGGCTAATGCGCGCCAAAGGAGAAGTAGCTGGTTGCAAGATGTGTCCTCTGCTGGACACTTTAAATGACGTATGTAATTTTATTTTTTCACAAATATGTAAATATTGATATGAGTGAATTAAAACTAAAGTAATTTGTAAACAATTGATTTGTTGTGCGCAAAGTTGAGCTCCTTACCAACTTAAACCTTTTAACATCAATGTGTGAATTCGGTCTTATCCATCTATTTTCTTTACTGCTTTGTCCGTTCGGGTCACAAGATTTTTGAGCCAACCCAGCATTTATCAGGTGAAGGGGCAGTGTTCATTCTGGATAGGTCGCCAGTCTGTTGCAGGGCCGTAATTCGGTCTTAGTATATGTAAATCACTCCCCACTTGGCTAACATTCTAACATCACTAAATTGTATCTCCCTACAGACACAGAACATTGAGAAACATGAGATGCTGTTGTCTGCTGCCTCATTAAAGACAAGACTACCTTGGTGAAAATCAAGAAGATCTTTTCCATTACTACCAGGTATGTCATATTCATAACAGATTTTTGATTAACTCAAAGGATCCTCCTCTCTTCTTGTATCCACCTTCTCCTTTTGCCTTCCACTCCCCCTCTGCTCTCCTTTTAGATAAACTGAAATATATTGAAACAGCATCTTACATAAAATAAAAATGTGCATGCTTTTTGTTTGTTTTTTACAGGTAGGAATGTGAGGACTACACAGACAAAAACATGAAGGTGATTGTGAAGCACAATGTCATGGCTGAGGAGGATCCAGATTTGTCTATTGTGATCGAGGGAAACCAAGTAATGGAATCACAGAGTTTAGATACAACAAAATGTGATTGGACTTCTTCCAGTACTGCTCTGATCTCCTCGCTTCTAGTTTCATTTTCTACTCTCTCCTCCTCCTAAAACAGCAATGTTTTATTATCCAACATTATTGAAACAACATTTGATAGTCCAGTGAGTTAACATGTTCATTACTTGAAATGTTGTGTAAAGTTATTGTGCTGCACTGTATTTTGAGTGTTTCATATGAATTTTTGGATTAAAAACATTGATCTGATGAACCATGTGAATGTCTTTATTGTGGGGGGTACATTTTACCTTCTCTGAATAAGTAATTAGCTTTGATTTGAATAGATAATTTTTACCTAATTTTAATGAGTAAGTAGCTGTTGATAAATGGAGGTAATTGTTACCCAATTTATGCAAGTATTTAATAGCTTTTTACTTCAGATAGTTTATACTCACTAATATGGATTAAATGTACCCCACCAAAGTCGATGCAAATTGTTACCTCACATTTTTTGGGTAAATTCTATAGATTATTTTTTACAGTGTATAAGTGTTATTATTACTATTGTACATAATAAGTGACTTTCCTCACAAACAAAAAGGTATTTTTAGTAAATAAAATATTTTAAGCAAAGAGGAAAAAACACTAGAACTTTTCTTTTTTTATAATCAAGGTTTAATTGTTTTGTGAAAGGGAAATAAATCGCTAAATTCACTATTTTAACAGCGAATAACTGTAATAGTTAATTTTAACAATATTTCACAGTAATGTCTAGAAAATAACTTAAATGTAAAACGAAGAAGATGTGTCAGTGTTTCTGAACTCCTGAAACGCCTCCATTGTAGTCTCGAGTTTCGGGAACGAACACGTCACAATATTCCTCATTATAATAATTAATATGCAAAACAAAAGGGGCGGGGCCTGGTTGAGTTAGTTAGTAGTGTGTTGAAACCGCGGTTACTTTGATCAGTCTTAAATAGTGTAAATTCATAAATGTTCATTGTATCAGAGATTTACATCATTTATAATTATATAAGTGTTATTATTACTATTGTACATAATAAGTGACTTTCCTCACAAACAAAAAGGTATTTTTAGTAAATAAAATATTTTAAGCAAAGAGGAAAAAAAACTAGAACTTTTCTTTTTTTATTATCAAGGTTTAATTGTTTTGTGGAAGAGAAAAAAACACTAAATTCACTATTTTCACAGCGAATAACTGTAATAGTTAATTTTAACAATATTTCACAGTAATGTCTAGAAAATAACACTTATGTAAAACGAAGAAGATGTGTCAGTGTTTCTGAACTCCTGAAACGCCTCCATTGTAGTCTCGAGTTTCGGGAACGAACACGTCACAATATTCCTCATTATAATAATTAATATGCAAAACAAAAGGGGCGGGGCCTGGTTGAGTTAGTTAGTAGTGTGTTAAGCTGGTGGTTATGGAAAGAGGCGGGACATTTCCCAAACACACTCAAAACGCTCGACCAATCACAACACACTGCTCCAGGCGACCAATCAGAGCACAGTGTGTGTTCAGAAGGAGGGGCTTCATAGAGACAGGAAGCGTTACTGACAGACTGGGAAGAGAGGAGCCACAACAATGGAGAATATGAGGAGAATAATCAACATTCAAGCAGGAAAACCTGTTCTGGTAGAACATCCATAACATTCTGAAACATTTAGTATGTTATGGATCTACAAAGCATCCAACCATCCTTAAAAATGTGACACCAAAGAATTCTCTTTTTCTCAGCCATTTTTTCTTATAATTTGGAGAGAGAAAAACTTAAAGCTTAGTATCAGGAAGAAACTAATTCACTATTGTACCCTGTAAGTGTCACACTAACCCTATATGCTCAATCTCTGACAATATTTATACTGTTTTAAATGCCTGAATACAGCATGAGCAAACACAGATACATACCTTCCTGTAACAAACTGTAGGAGGAGGACTCTTTCTTCTTGAGTGAGATGTTCAACCACTTCCCAAAACCACTGTAACAAAGACACATGTGAGTCTGTAACTGTAGTCTGGGCTATGCCATCACTGAAACTATCAAACAGCACATATGTGGGAACTGATACATGGGTGTGTATTATTTTTAATATTTAAAAAAAGAAAGAGTAACAATTACTTTGTTCAGCCATTTAGCCTTTCCTACTGTTGCTGTCTCTGACAAGTGCTCTCACCGTTAATAAATGTGTATACTGTGATGTGTAAACGTCGATAATATACTGTTACACTTTCCAGCCCTGTGGAAGAGAATTATAGTTGTGCTGATGGGATACCTGTATCACAGGCTCCTGCAGGTCATATCCACTAGTGTACTCTGTGTTCCTCTTCCAGTCCATCACATCGATTTCAGGCATGCCTGACAACAGCAGCTCCTACTCTCACACACACACACAATGCCATCAAGCAGATAAACACACACACACACACGCTCTGATTTAGGCATTCCTGATGACTTTTAAAGAAACAGTTCACTCAAAATATGAATATTCTGATGAGGGCGGGGCAACCTGTCACTCACATGAGATCAGCCAATAGCAAACCACAACCATCCAATCAATTCCCCTCAGACACAATCAAGCCCCGCCCACATTTGTTCTTGTTCCAGAAGCGTTTTACTCAGATATACGGAAAATACCAGCGCAACTTCCCTTTCCTGCCGATTTTATCAAAAATATGAACCTAATTTTCAGATGTTTTGAAAAATGTATAAACATTTATCAATATGTAAAACCTAGTGAAAACCTGAGCTCCTATAACAGCATGTCATTATTTTGTTATAGTTGTGTTTTGAATTCTTCACACTTCGGATGTCATTTTTCTCTATTTTAGAGACTGTTTAGGATTTTGTAGTGCGTTGTTACGGCTTTTAATCCGAGTTTTGTCCAAAACCAGACACGACGGCAATACGTCAAGATTCTATTTTAGAGATGTAAAGCATAGAGTATGATGATGATAATCTCGGGTACTGATTTTGTGCTTTATTTAATGTTAAAAGAATTTATTGTAAGTTTGAATGTCATTTTGCATGGCTATATTGAAAACTACAGTGGATAATTTACCTTAGATATTGAAAATAAATTAAAGTAAACAAAGCTGTAAAAACTCAGAGTGAACAAACGTGTATTCTTTGACAAAGATTGTCTCAATCACTCAGGATGTATTTTTAATTTTTAAATGTTAAAATTATTTGGTTAGGAGTGTAATGCGCTTGCAGAGAGACTCCGCCCACACACTCTTCTGATTGGCTGTGTTTTTTAATTGATTTTGTTGAGTGTAATGCGCTTGCAGAGACTCCGCCCACACACTCTTCTGATTGGCTGTGTTTTTAAATTGATTTTGTTGAGTGTAATGCGCTTGCAGAGACTCCGCCCACACACTCTTCTGATTGGCTGTGGTTTTTAATTGATTTTGTTGAGTGTAATGCGCTTGCAGAGAGACTCCGCCCACACGCTCTTCTGATTGGCTGTGGTTGTTAATTGATTTTGTTACGAGTGCAGTGCACTTGCAGAGACTCCGCCCACACGCTCTTCTGATTGGCTGTGGTTGTTAATTGATTTGGTTACGAGTGCAGTGCTCTTCCAGAGAGACTCGGCCCACAAGCTCTTCTGATTGGCTGTGGTTTTTAATTGATTTGGTTGAGTGTAATGCGCTTGCAGAGAGACTCCGCCCACACACTCTTCTGATTGGCTGTGGTTGTTAATTGATTTGGTTACGAGTGCAGTGCACTTGCAGAGACTCCGCCCACACGCTCTTCTGATTGGCTGTGGTTGTTAATTGATTTGGTTACAAGTGCAGTGCTCTTCCAGAGACTCCGCCCACACGCTCTTCTGATTGGCTGTGGTTGTTAATTGATTTGGTTACGAGTGCAGTGCACTTGCAGAGACTCCGCCCACACGCTCTTCTGATTGGCTGTGGTTGTTAACTGATTTGGTTGAGTGAAGTGCTCTTCCAGAGAGACTCCGCCCACACACTCTTCTGATTGGCTGTGGTTGTTAACTGATTTGTTTGAGTGAAGTGCTCTTCCAGAGAGACTCCGCCCACACGCTCTTCTGATTGGCTGTGGTTGTTAATTGATTTGGTTACGAGTGCAGTGCGCTTGCAGAAGGACTCCGCCCATACACTCTTCGGATTGGCTGTGGTTTTTGATTGATTTTGTGGCGTCACATCTGGTGTGTACACACAAATTGCTTGTCGCTGCAATCATCGCGTCTGGTTAAGTCTTGATTCCAGTTCACTTGTGCATTCACAAGTGCAAATATAACGTTTATCATGTGGATGAATCTTATATATACAGGATGTGTTTGAAAGAACTAATTAACCTGCTCGTTTAACTGGTGCTCAGCTCTATCCTCTTAATCCATACTACAAAACATACTACGATTTTTTTACTTTTCTTCAGTGAGCACAGGAAAGAAGAGCAGCAGAAATGGAAAATGCGACATGAGAATATAAAGAGATCTTTGCATGAGTCTCATGCAGAGATGAGAGGAGGAATCCACTGACCAGCTCATATTCATCAAAGAGCTGTATGAGCGAGGGAAGGATGAAAGTGTGAAAGCCCTGCAGGAAAGCATTGATCTGCGGCTGAATGGCTCGGGTCATCCTGAGCTCCGTCACCAGCTGCACGTACTCCTCCTGACACACACAGAAACAGCACAAATCAAACCATCATTCACTTCTTCACAAGCACAGACAGAGCGCTTGTACTCAGCAGTCTAGGGTGACTAAAAACCAACAAAAAAACTCATGTAAATGATGTAAACGGCTTTTTGAAAACTACAATTCATCTTTTTCTAAAGGACCTTTGATTTCATGCGTAAAAGTTTTTAATGAGGGAAATTATTTAAAACCATGCTTACAAAGAGACTTCAAATGTAATGAATATTTAAGAGGTCATCCGATGCCCATTTTCCACAAGTTGGGGTGAAACAACTCCCCTTTTTACCTCCTCAAAACCTGCGACCTGTTTCAGTGCATGTCTCTTTAAATGATAATGAGCAACTGCTCATTATATGACGTATTAGTGTTTAGGCTTTTTGGGAAGGAGTGAATTGATTTTCTTTTATTTGCGTGGTGGTTGTGTCCACACACTGCAAACACACATTGATATGCAAACACCATATACAAGTGAAATTTGCATCCGATGACCCGTTTACCTAGCCTGGTAACTGGCTCATCTTACCCCAATGTTCCCTACTACAGATATGTTTTTAGTAACACTAAAACGGTAATACTACAATAAGGTTCATTAGTTAATAACTAACGTGAACTAACACTGAGCAATACATTTGTTAGAGTATTTATTAATCTTTGTTAATGTTAGTTAATAAAAATACAGTCATGTTAGTTCACAGTGCATTAACTAATGATAACAAATATAAGCTTGGATGTTTATAACGTATTAGTAAATGTTCAAATTAATATGAATTAAGATTAATAAATGCTGTAGAAGTGTTGTTCATTCTTAGTTCATGTTAACTAATGAACATTATTGTAAAGTGTTGCCATTTTAACAAACTGCTATTTTCTGCAAATAATTGCTCTAAATAACAAATCAGGATCTCTCTCGACTCACAGATCCTGAGCAATACTCTGTATTTAACATATCATGAAGACTCACGAGTTACGTATTTGCGCTAAATTTGTGCAGATTGACATACATATACTGTTTAAATATATATAGTTTACTTAACTATAAAAGAGAACTGAAACAATTCTAACCGAAAACAATGACAACACCTATATATTTATTAGTGCTGTCAAACGATTAAAATATTTAATCGCGATTAATCGCATTAACGTCATAGTTAACTCGCGATTAATCGCACATTTTTATCTATTCTAAATGTCTCTTGATTTCTTTTTGTCCCATTATTATTAATGCTCTTATCAACATGGAAAAGTGGATCGGCTTGCTTTGTGCAAATGTTTTTTAATTGGAAACAACATTGATACTGTGTTCAATTTCACAATCTAAAACTGTCCATTAATAAAAGAGTGAAATAAATACTGACGAGGTCCTGATATTGACGAGGGGGTGGAGAATTTGCATCAGCTGTGTGTGTGTGTGTGTGTGCTTGGCCATCATCAAGTGGTGTTTCAGACTGGCACAGATCACTCTGGTCATTTGGCAACTTTTAAAAGTAAACTTTCCATTCAGAATCTTATTGGCATCCATTTCGGCGACTCAAGCTCGTCATCAACTCAAAACGCAACGCTAACCAACTATTTGGCCGGCTCGCAAGCCCAAACGAGTGTGTGCGGCGTGCCTGTTGTTTTGTTTCCGGTCTCCACTAGCGCTGCGCCACGTCCTGTTGCAAAAGCATGTGAAAAACACTACAAAGTTTGCTAGGCCAAAAGACCGTTAAACGCGCGTTAAAAACATTTACGCCGTTAAAATGGGTTTGTGTTAACGCTGTTAATAACGCGTTTAACTGACAGCCCTAATATATATATATATATACATACACACTGTATTACCTTGTTGTCTTGTGTGACCTGGATGGCAGTTCCTCCTGGTTTGAGCGGAAACTCTTCCATGTTTCCGAACACATCCGTCTCCACGGAAAAGGTGAGCTCAAGGCCAAGGTCACTGATGTCATTGTCCAGGATCCACTGAAGATTTTTAGCATACTCTGGGTCGATGGACGACACATCCTGATAGCTCACTGGGATGCCTGCGAAGATATCACACACACACACACACAACACATTTTAAAGGGTTAGTTCACCCAAAAATGAAAATTCTGTCAGTATTTACTCACCCTCATGTTGTTCCAACCCCCTAAAGACCTCCGTTCATCTTCAAACACAAATTAAGATATTTAAGATATTAAGATCGCTCCTGCATACTAGTCCATAGGCTTCTTGAGGGACTGGCTCTTGCTGTCCCCGAAAAGTCATTAAAGACATCGTTAAAATAGTCCAAGTGACTACAGGGGCTCAATCTTAAGTTTATCAAACGACGAGAACACTTTTGTGCGAAAAAAAACAACAAAAATAACGACTTTATTTCAACTATTCACTTCCTTCTTTCATGGGCCTGTAGTCAGTTAACGTAGTGTGATTGCGTAGAGCTACGTCAACATAGGCTCACTATTGGCCGACGCTGTCGTGTGTGTGATGCGTGTGACGTACAATAACAGAAGCTCACGCTATTAAACTAGTAACTGACTCGCGCAGAGGAGGAAATAAAACAATAGTTGAAATAAAGTCGTTATTTTTGTTGTTTTTTGCGCACAAAAGTGTTCTCGTCGTTTTTGATAAGTTAAGATTGAGCCCCTGTAGTCACTTGGACTATTTTAACGATGTCTTTAATGATTTTAGATGCCAGCAAGAGTCAGTCCCTCAGAAAGCCTATGACTAGTATGCAGAGCGATCTTAATATCTTAAATATCTTCATTTGTGTTCCGAAGATGAACGAAGGTCTTACGGGGTTGGAACAACATGAGGGTGAGTAAATACTGACAGAATTTTCATTTGTGGGTGAACTAACCCTTTAACACGTGATGCTTGTTACATGCAGATTATTTTCCCACTCCACAAACCGTGAGACTGGCTCATCAGTTTGTGGCTTATCTAATCTGTGTTTCTGATTCTTGTGCTTGACAATGACCATCAGGGTACGAAATGTTAAAGTTACTGCCCATTCATAACTTCTACTAGCCCCCTAAAAAAAGAAAAAAAGATATAAACCAGATTAACTGCGTCATAGCTTTATATATATATAATAAAATTTATTTCATACATTAATTTCTTATTCAAACAAAATCCTGTCATCCATCTCCTCACTTTCTCTTTCATCCTCATCAGCATCAGTGTTGGGTAAGTTACTCTAAAAAAGTAATTAATTACTAGTTACTAATTACCTCTTCAACAGTGTAATTAGATTACTGTATTAATTTCTCGCTCTAAAAAGTATTTAATTACTTTTAATTACTAATTACTTTCAAAATCCCATATCAATCTCAACCAGCTGAATAATACAAGGGTAGACATGAATCTGTTTTAATTCTTTCAAATAAATACTATAAAATTGCACGAATTATCCTTAAACTGACCAAGGTGGAGAAGGTTACATTATAAAAACATACTTTAACATCAGACGATACATTTTGATGTTAAACCCACTATTGTTTTATGTCTGATCTCATGACATTTCACACTTTTTTTCATACATATTTTACAATAATTCATACGAATTTGTACGAGTGCGGTCGTCATATTTAGACACCTCATACGAATCGCTGTGAGATCGGATTGATCTATACACCGTATTTACCTTAATTACATCAGAAGAAACTGTAATTAAATTACAGATAAATGAAGAGTAATCCCTTACTTTACATTTTCAAGGAAAAAGTAATTAAATTACAGTAACTAATTACTTAGTAATTAGTTACACCCAACACTCATCAGCATAAATGTATTTTAGGTGGACAGATCAATACAGTACAAAGAACATCTAAAAATATTCGCTATTGCTTCAGTGCAAGTGAACAAGCGTGCCGCTATTTGTTGCGTAGTGACGTGTGTGTTCAAGTAAGCCAGAAATGTGCAGACCGTGAGCAATACGCTGTATTTAATATATCACGAAGACTCACGAGTTGCAGATTTGGCTTAAACGAACTTCCCCAGCAGAGTAAACATAATAAGTCTAGTTACACGCCAAATTGGCTCGTGATTTGACAGCAACAGTTGATTTTTACCCGTATTTGGTTCATTTCAAACCCTGATGGCCATGTATTGAGTTGATTAAAGCGTATCAAGCATGTCTACAAGTTCATCTGTACACATAGAACAAGTTCAACAAACAGAGTCGATGTGAAAAGAAATGTGCTGACACAGAGTGACTCTGAGAGTGGAGTGTGTTACCCAGTATGTGCTTGTAAAAGGAGCGTGTGAAGTAGATGTTCACCAGCTGTCGATGATAGAGAGCCAGACCCAGGATTTGACCAGCAAATCGGAAGTAGTTCAGATGGTCTGGATTTACAGAGGAATTACTGTTGGGTTGAAACGTGGTACCTGTAAATGAAAAAAAAAAAATAATAATCCATGTATGCACATGCAAAACACATGTTCAGTAAAGCAGCCGACCAATATGAAGTTGGCCAGTGGGATCCTGACATGGGAGAGATGATGTCATTTACCATCGGCAGATTGTGTAAACAGTGCGTAGTCTGGGTTGATGATCTCATTGGACAGAATGTCAAACCACTCTCTGACCACACCCTGACCCTGAAAAAAAGACAGATATTCATGACATCAACCCTAGATCTTATGGAAGCTCGTTTCTGCCACAGAAAAAAGAAAAAAAAGGTAACTGCAACTTTTGATCTCACAATTGCGAGTTTACATTTCGGAATTGTGTGATATAAAGTCAGAATTGTGAGTTATAAAGAATTGTGTTTTAAAGTCAGAATTATGAGTTATGAAGTCTTAAATCTGAATTATAAGTCATAATTCTTAGTTTTAAAGTCAGAATTATGAGTTATGAAGTCTTAATTGTGAGTTATAAAGTCTTTATTGTGTTAAAGTCAGAATTCTGAGTTATGAAGTCTTAATTCTTAATTATAAATCATAATTTTTAGTTTTAAAGTCAGAATTTTGAGTTTTAAAGTCAGAATTATGAGTTATGAAGTCTTAATTGTGAGTTATAAAGTCTTAATTGTGTTATAAAGTCAGAATTCTGAGTTATGAAGTCTTAATTCTTAGTTATAAGTCATAATTGTTAGTTTTAAAGTCAGAATTCTGAGTTACAAGTCATAATTGTTAGTTTTAAAGTCAAAATTGTGAATTTTAAAGTCAGAATTATGAGTTATGACGTCTTAATTGTGAGTTATAAAGTCAGAATTCTGAGTTATGAAGTCTTAATTCTTAGTTATAAATCATAATTGTTAGTTTTAAAGTCAGAATTGTGAGTCTTAAAGTCAGAATTGTGAGTTTTAAAGGAACACTCCGACTTTTTGGGACTTTAGCCTATTCACCTTACCCCCCAGAGTTAGATAAGTCCATACATACCTTTTTCATCTCCGTGCGTGCTATAAGTCTGTTTGACGCACCCACCGCTAGCCTAGCTTAGCACAAAGACTGGATGTGAATGGTTGCAGCTTTCATACTAATCCAAATGAGTGACAAAATAACGCAAACGTTTTCCTATTTACATCTTGTGGTTTGTATAGTCACAGAGTGTGCAAATATCAAGGCCATATGAGACACAGACATCTTTTGACCGTATAAATACTATATTTTCTGAAGGGGAAGCACTGCTACTTGGGCAGAGTGATAACAATCACCTGAGACGCAACGTGACGAGGAGCAGAGAGTTCGCTTCGCTCAGCGTTGGAATAAAGAGTCAGCAATTACTAACGTTAGATAGAAAAGCATAGTTTATCACGGGTGTTTGCTTTATTGTATGAGCTGTGACAATAAACAGGGGAGACCAGGTAATACAGTACCATGTTTCATTGATTTCCAACCAAAAACGCACCCAGATTTATAAATATCACATGAATAAATAATTATTATTACAGGAATCAATATATTTTAAATGCAGTTTATTAGCTGAACCAAATGTATTCAACCGTATATAATATACAGTATTGCATTACTATAGGATAGAATAAGGGGAAAGTAATAGCACAAATTGTTTTTGCACAATGAACTCACAGCCTATCGTACCCTTTTGCACGCTCAAGTTCGTTATTTCCATGGTTATTTCAAATTTAGGCTACTAGGCGCGCCGCGCGCAGGGTGCAAGTTCAACGCGGTGAACGCGCTCGTTTTTTTTTCCCAAGCGCGTCCGCACCGCATCAAGATAAAAACATATTCATACCCTAATCATATAATAGTGTCACTAACGTTACATTAGATCTGGCTAATGGCACTGTTACAGTAGGTCATCTAAAAACATAACGGAACACTTACCTCAGCCGCAGGTGATCCACTTGTCCTGTCTGTGCTATCGATGGGATGGCCGTATTCTTCAGCACATTATGGTCCGTGTGGCAAATTCCATTTTTTCAAAATAGTCGTCCTCATTGAAATGTACCGAGCAAACATAATGTCCCTTGATAATCTTAGGTGTGTTTGGATAAATATCCAGAGTAAGTTAGCCATTTCTTCATCCAGTCAGCGTTTTTAGTTGGAATTCTGTGAAACATGGTTACCTCCCCTGTTTACAGTCGCAGCTATTTACAATAGAGCGAAAACCCATGACTCTAAACTACGCTTTTACTATTTATAAATTGCTGACTCTATTACCCAAACACCGAGCGAACTCTCCGCTCCTCACCACGGCGTGTCTCCGGTGATGCGGTTATTACGCCGTCAAAGTAGCAGTGCTTTGCCTTCAGAGAATAGTTCCCAGGTTTTATACGGTTAAAAGATGTCTGTGTCTCATTTGACTTTGTTATTTGTACATTATGTGACTAGACAAATCACAACATGTAAATAGGAAAACGTTTGCGTTATTTTGCCACTCATTTGGATTAGTATGAAAGCTGCAACCAGTCACATCGAGTCTTTGTGCTAAGCTAGGCTAGCGGTGGGTGCGTCAAACAGACTTATAGCACGCACGGAGATGAAAAAGGTATGTATGGACTTATCTAACTCTGGGGGGTAAGGTGAATAGGCTAAAGTCCCAAAAAGTCGGAGTGTTCCTTTAAAGTCAGAATTATGAGTTATGAAGTCTTGATTGTGAGTTATAAAGTCTTATTTGTGTGTTATAAAGTCAGAATTCTGAGTTATGAAGTCTTAATTCTTAGTTATAAGTCATAATTGTTAGTTTTAAATTCATAATTGTTAGTTTTAAAGTCAGAATTATGAGTTTTAAAGTCAGAATTATGAGTTATGAAGTCTTAATTGTGTTATAAAGTCTTAATTGTGTGTTATAAAGTCGGAATTCTGAGTTATGAAGTCTTAATTCTTAGTTATAAGTCATAATTGTTAGTTTTAAAGTCATAATTGTTAGTTTTAAAGTCAGAATTGTGAGTTATGAAGTCTTAATTGTGTTATAAAGTCAGAATTCTGAGTTATGAAGTCTTAATTCTGAGTTATAAGTCATAATTGTTAGTTTTAAAGTAATAATTGTTCGTTTTAAAGTCAGAATTATGAGTTATGAAGTCTTAATTGTGTTATAAAGTCAGAATTCTGAGTTATGAAGTCTTAATTCTCAGTTATAAGTCATAATTGTTAGTTTTAAAGTCATAATTGTTAGTTTTAAAGTCAGAATTGTGAGTTATAAAGTCTTAATTGTGTATTATAAAGTCAGAATAGCGAGATGTACACTCGCAATTGTGAGATAAAGTTGCAATTATCTTTTGAAATGTTCTTGCATCAAACCCACAGAGATAAAATAATCTAAAATGGTGTAAAATAGCCGATATACGCACAAATATAGAAGACTCTTGATCTAAAGTGAGTTAATGCTGCCTTCATCGATCGTGTTCACATTTGGCAGGTTTGGTTGGATTAAAACTCTGCTGAGAATGAGATTGCTTTGTTTGTGCGGTTCATGTGAAGAAGTGCCCTCTGAACCCTGTCAGGCGGACCACTCTCTAGATAACTCAGGCGCTCTAGGGTCGGGCACTGAAATAGATTCAAATTCTGAGTCTTCCGCAAAACGTTTTTGACACGACTTTTTGGTGGAGTAAAATCTAGCAATAATTCGTTGAGAAAATGAATTATCGTTTTTACCTCGCGTAACCACAGCCACAAAGCGCCCGCGACCTCAGATCACTTGGACGTAGCTATGATTACAAGAGGTAAAACTATATAAACACTGTTCGTTTTCTCACACAAACCGCTCGTTTCGTGTCTTAGGTCATCAATGTGTACTTACATTAACGAGTCATTAAATCATGTTTAATCTGGACTTCTCTGAGCATGCTCTTTGAGGTGGTGACCATTATATGACTGGAATGGTTTGACCTAAAAATATCAAAATTGAAAATACTGTGGAAACAAAGACTCCTACATCTTGGATGCCCTTGAGGTAAGCTAAAACATACCATAAATTCATTTCAAAGTGAACTATCCCTTTAAGATCGAGATACCCCTGGATGACGAGAACAAGCTCACCATTCCTTCTTCACCGTGAAACCGCACGGCAATGCCTTGTTTGAGCTTCTCATTGGAGGACTTCGACACGACCTCACAGCTGCTGCGGAATATAGAGTCTGAAAGAAGAAGATAAATACATGAACACAGGAAGTGGAGACAGAAAAATGAAGGATCGTAATGTGGAAATTCTTCTACCTCGGTGAACAAGAAGAATATCATTTTCATTAACCGGCCGGTGAACCATATCCGAGTCGGGCTGTCCGGCCAGAAGATGTTCGTAAAACCACTCACACCTGTCTTTAAATGGCTGAGGAAGAGAGATAAACAAACATGATGGCGATCGTTAAGTCTTTATGCTAGGGATCGTAGCTAATCGGTACGCACATAATTCTTGGATTAATCGCAAACTTTAACCATCATAGAGCGAAAGTTGATCATTTTCATGCATTATAAGTAGGGCTGTCACTTTACGATCGAAAGTCGATTGCACAATCGATCGGACCAACCAACACCAATATCGAAAACGAAAATAGGGAATCCATTTAAAGGTTTTTTTTTTTTTTACCAAAAATGTGTTTTAGGTGGACAGATCAATTCAGCACACAGAACATGTAAGAAAATAACAATGGCTGTGTCCAAAATCTCCACTTTTGTCTTTTCTGTTCACCAAATGCTTTTTAATATTGGCTATTACTTCAATGCAAGCGCACAAGCGCGCCATTATTTGTTGTGTAGTGACGTGTGTGTTCAAGTCAGCCAGAAATGTGCAGATTCTGTACGATACGCCGTATTTAATATATCATGAGGATGCGTATTTGTGCTAAATCCACACAGATGACACAAACTTCCCCAGCAAAGTGAGTAAACACAGAAACACACCAGATTGGCTCGTGATTTGTACCCGCGTTTGGCGGGTCGAGGGAGTTCATCTCAATCCCTCAATGTTGCGCTCCTGTTTGTCATTGTGGAGAAACTTCACGCCAATAAATCAACAGGAATATTGCTGAGTTGTGCGTCTCAAGCGCCCTCTTTACGCTCGTCCAAATGCCTTGATAAGTGTCCGTGGATTTACTTGTATTTGGTGTTGAAATGGAAATGTCTTTAGACATGGAAACTCGATTTTACAATCGATTCAATGAACACTTATGTCTCAAAAATCGAACCGGATTTTTCACAAAAGTGACAGCCCTAGTTTTAGGTCCTGTCAGTTTAAACATGCAAGTGTGTTTAAAGCATTCAAACTCACAGAGCAGCACGCAAACACCAAATTATCTTCTCTTTCTCATCTATTTGTAATTGAATGGACACCTAGACGCAAACTTATGATAAAAATGCCCGTCTCGATGAGTATCCTCACCAGTGTTGTAGGACTCGAGACTCGGACTCGAGGCCATATTTTAATGGTCTTGGTCTTGTCATGGACTCGTGTGCATTTGGACTCGGAATTGACTCGTACTTGAAAAATTTTTTTTTTAGGACTCGGACTTATTCCCGAGTCCACTCGAGTTTTATTAATGTATGTTAATAAAATATGTCTTTAAATTGATTGACACGCCCAGTGATTGGTGATTTTCTAGTGCGCAACTGCGCATGACAAATTGTAATAAAATTACTTTTAACACCACCTACTATGTGGCCTTTTTACCCTAAACTGATCATATTTTTTAAACTCTAAGTAAATTCAGTAAAAAAAAAAAAAGGATTTCTCTAAGTAAATAAAAGTAAATTAGGTAATCAACCCTCACTGGTCTCGGTCTCGACTCGGACTCGACTCTCTCTGGACTCGGTGTCGACTCGGACTCGAGTGAGGTGGTCTCGACTACAACACTGATCCTCACAGTCGCTTTTGGCTCACATGAACAAACAATTGAGAAAGAAAACTTATGCGTATCATTATATTGGATCCGGTCTTAAAGGGACACTTTATTACATCGTATTCATCTATGCTTGTAATTTGTTTCTTATTTTCTATGCAGATTCACTCCACCGACAAAATCTCCCCAATCATTCTAGATTGATTAATTCTTTAAAAAATAGAGCTTTATTCAAATCATGTGCTTCTTAAAGTGTCCTAAAGCTGTCCAGTGCCCACATCAGGAGTTTCAGGAGTCACGCTTACCTGGCCTTTGATGATATGCATGAAGCGAGACATGAGTTCAGGACATTCCAGCAGGAAGTGGAAGTGGTTGAAGATAATTTTGGGATTCCTGGGAATAACGAAAGAGCACTTGTAAGAAAGCGTTTACAAATATAGGCAGAGGGAAGTTTGTCAGGATGCATAATATCCTGGATCCATGAAATAACTGTCCTTTAAAAATATAAATCTGCCCCTCTATGGGAATTTAACATGGCTTATGCATCCTGTACTTTAAGGAAGAACATTTATTTATTTTAGGGATGCGTGGTATACCACTACTGCAAAAATACCGATATATAATATATTTCAAACGGCACAATATCATCCTTTTGTTCAATTTGGTATTTGATACGCTGCTGTTTCGAAGTTCTCCTCTAGGGGGCAGTGCGCTTCCAAAACGGTTCACGCGACACCGGCAAACGGTAACGACGGAGGAACACGATGGATCAAACGAAGCTCATTCGAATTTCTACACGCCGGAAATCAATAAATAGAGACAGCAGTATGCTCATCCTGACTCGCTGAAAGAGTTCAGAGACCGACGGGTGAGTTCATCATTCGACTGATTTAATTTAGACTTTTATTGAACACTGAACAGCGCACATACATAAAAGCTTATCAATTAAATATGATACGGTAAACACGCAAGATCAAAATCTTCTTGCATGACACGCTAGAACCAATTCAGTTTGGGTCTCATAATTTTTGCACTTTCAAACAAACATATTAAATTAATTTGAATGAATAAAGAATAAAAGTGATAGTACAATTAATGGCGTATTACTGCCGCTGTGGCGACCCATGGAGGAATAGGTGATATGAATATTACTAATATTACAATTTGTCAACATTCATTATGTAACCTAACCTAACAATATTATAGCATTTATTGATCTACTTCTATCAGTAGTAAAATGACCTAAAAATGTAATATACTAATGCATGTTTAGCATGTTAACATTACTTTATGCAATGCATTATATGCAAAATATGATCCCAAACACCAAGATGAATAAATGCTATAAATGTTGATAATTCTCTGTTGATGCATGACAGATAATGGTTTACATGTCATGTCATTATTATCGTTATTATTTTTTATTATTATATGTTAATCTATTATTATAGATATGAACCTATTTTAATTGTATAATTTCAGGTTTTTGTTTTTTTTTTTCCTCAAAATCCAAATTTTACCTACTGTATGTTCCTTGAGTGAATTTATTTATTTTTTGATACTTTTTCTTTTGTTTTTGTAATAAAATTGTTTCAATTCACTTAAATTGATATTTTTTTTTTCGACTGTGGTATCGATTTAGTATCGATACCGAGGTATTAGGGTTGGCTCGATACCATAATTTTGGCTTCGGTACGATACCAGAACCTAATTTCTTTACGATATATTATTTATTCACAAAGAAAATTGGTGTCCTTAAAGGTTGGAGTTTCCCTCATTTTTTTTTTTAAATTAATGCATTAAGATCAATTTCCAAAAGATGTTTTTTATTCCTCTTTTTAGTCTCTGCTCTATTCACGCATATACAGTAAAGTGTAATTTATCCCTGAGATCAAAGCTTCAAAGTCACATGATCAAAGTCTTCAGTGTCACATGATCCTTCAGAAATCACTCTGATATGATGATCTGATGATCAAGAAACATTTATGATGTTGAAAACAGTCGAGCTGCATCAGATTTTCTGATCTTTTGTGTTTTTTTCAGGATTATTTAATGAATAGAAAAAACAAAAGAATAACAGTTATTTTTGTATCATTATAAATGTCTTTAAATGTCACTGATCAACTGAAAGTGTGCTTGATGAATACAAGTAATAAATTCCTAATAATCTTCCTGACCCTTAGATGCGGTCACTATGAACATTCATAGTATAGAAGAAGAGATGAGATGAAGAAGAGATTAAGTAGTATATTTTTTTTCCTCATTAAACTATTCTTTAATAAGCAATTTAACAGATTTATAAATGTATTAGATGCTCTTGACTTACCTTGTCACAAAACACTTGAGTACTTCATCATGTTTGCAGACGAACTCGATGAATCGAGGAGAGGTCATGCTTGATATCAAAGAAGGAGAGAGCAGGGTCTCAGACTTAATGAATTATGCATAAATTAAAGAGCGATTTAACGATCTAATAACATTATCATTAGAGAAGCAGCCTGTGGTGTCAGGCGACGATTAAACCATATTATTAAACCGTTCATAACATAATAACTGCATGTAATGTGATAATCATTACATTATTAATGTAATAATCATATAATTATTAATGCAATAACATTTTCATAATGTGATAAATTCAGAATTTAATAACCATCTTTCACATTATGTAATAGGTTATTATAAGACATTTATAACATCATGAACCCACTAGCAATATAATTGTCTTTCAATATAATACATTTGTTCACAAAATAGGCTACATTGTGACTCAACATTTTGATAAATATTGTACAAATTTTCATTTTGTACATTTGTACGAGTCATAATAACCCAGAAACACATTTTTAAAAGGAATTATACGTTTTTAAATCATTCATGAGCCATTTAATCATATAAATGGTTGTCATATATACTTGTTTATATTGTACCAACATGTATAATGCCGTTTAAAAAAAAAAACATTATTTTTACATTTTGAGCTCAAGATTTGATTAAAGATTATTAATGAACATGAGGTGATGTTTCATGCATTCTCTCACAGTTTTAACCCTAACGAATCTTGACATTGTCATCCTGGAATATGGCCATGATGTGTGTGTTCCTACACAGCTGTTTAACCTGACAACATGACCTTTACTTTGCTGTGCTGCTATATTTCACGGCCAAATCCAGGTTGATAAACAACTAAAAACCTTTATAATATGCTTGAGATTCATTTTTAATAAAGCTGATTCGAGCCTGTCTTTGTGTAAACCCCTTTCAAGGGTGTCAGAATACGTTTGTTCCAGGGAGGGCTAGAAATATATTTTATACAGTGGTTTTGTGTGGACTGGTGTGAGTTTGAGGTCAGTCTTACCCATGAGGCATCTGACAGGAACAGCACATGTAGAAGGCCTGGATGACGGCGCTCAGGCGATTGGCTATCATCGAGATGACGTCCTGACCGTCGGCGTAACCCTCGGGTGTCTTCATCACGGAGCTGGCGTCCAGTAACAGCGGGGCACTTTGGCTGGATCCCGAGGGGTCCGCCTCCTGCTTTTTCAGGAAGAGTGAGGCGATGTCGTTTCCTGAGGATGAGGTTGATGCGTCTGTGCTCTCCTTCTCCAGCTCAGTGGAGATGAGGACCAGCCATTCGTCAAGAGAGTGCCATAGCAGCTCCAGGGGCTAGACCCAACACAAGAGAAATCACGTTCAACACTAGGCCAGGTGATGTCTCCAATATTTAAAACGGTTAGCTCCAGTCCTTGATTCTGATTGGTCAATAGCTGGGTTTCTATGCATCACTACTCGACACCCCTAGCAACGTAAACAAAAATAGGCTACATTGAAAATGTTGTACAAATTTTGTGATTGACATATTCCACCATTATAAGTCATAACGTTTTTTAAAAGGAATTTTAAGTTTTTAAATCATTTGTGAGCCATTTAATCATATGAATGGTTGTCATATAAACTTGTAAACATGTATAAGGCTGTTTAAAAAAGCTTGTTTTTACATTTTGAGCTCAAGATTTGATTAAAGATTATTAATGAACATTTTGTTACATACTTATTACATTATGAGCTGGCTCAGTTCTCCTGTGTTCCCCATTAACTTGACTCAAGCATTTGGGTCCACTTATAAAGTTCACATGTAAATGCGAATTGACGCGCTAGCAGAGTCCGTCTAACGGCACTTCCTATGTATCATCCTGGTTGCAGTTCCATTAGAATTCCACTAGAGGTGATCGCGGGCGAGAGCAGAATGAATGGGAGTCTATGGGGCTAAATGTGTCTCGTTCACCTGCTTGTCGTTAAATTAACATAGATTTTATTGTTGATTCCGCAAGTTCAATATAGATTATAGGCCAAAAGTCGAATGAACGAGTACTCATGTCCTTTTGATTTCTTACAGGTTAGGCCGTTGTTGGCCGGAACACGCTAGCATTCTGCTATTGTGTGACGTCATCGCATTTTTGAACGGATTTTTAGAACAGATAAGTGAACTTAAAAATGCAATTTTCAGCTGAGTGTATTATCTTAGCCCTCCCTTTTGGATGCAACTTTCAAATTACTTGACAAAAAATTACATCCTGAGAAAAGTGGATTTCTGGGGGTGAAACCCCATTGACTCCCATTCATTCTGCACTCGACCGCGAGCGCCCCCGCATGGACAGAGACGCGTTACTGCAGCCAGTCCACAACCCGGAAGTAACCAGTGCCTATTCTCTTCAATTAGACATTCTCTGACGCTAGCCATTTGTCAGTTGTGTCTTACTTATCCATGTTCACAAGTTTCAGTCCTTTCAGTATAAAAGTCTTCTCTACTGACTCGCTCACTCATAAAGAATGTCTTTGTTACTATCTAAAGGCGTAATAATGTCACCTCTGTTGCTGTTCGCGGTCAGGGACTATTTTTTCCAGCGGAAGAAAAGTTTTTAGGGATTTTACTTCGTGAAAGTTGCATTGACACATATATTTCTCAGCTTCTCAGTCCCTATGAAATCAAAATTTACCATACTTACTTTGTTTGCCTTAATTGATCGTTTTGTGGTGAACAATTCATTCATGCAAGTCAATCCACACAAAACAATTTTTGGGCTTCGTAATCTTTAATCAAAGTTTGAAAATGCCCCTCCCCTCTGCATTGGAGGACCTTGCCCGATGACGTAGGCTTTACGGTTTGGGTGTCTCCTTAACATCCATAACCACACCCCTCCAACTGACAGCTGCTGTGTGTTTGCGAGCGCCGAGCGAGCATTGATTGACAGCGTGTGTAAACTTGCGTCATCCTCCATTTCAGAATGAAACACCCATTTTTCTAGATCCAATCAGGTGCTAGTTAGAAAAATAAGCCACGCCCACTATTTTGCCTCATTTAGTATTCCGTTTCTCTCCGAAATACGTCACAACACTGGAGAAAAGTCGTTTGCAACTTCCGGTTCACGGGGACTTTAAAATTAGTATTTTGTAACCGTTTTAGAAAAGCAATAAGGTACTCGAGGCTAAGTGCTGTACTGCGAGATACTCAATACTCAAGTCACGATACAGCACAGCCTCTCAAACCTTATTGCTTACTTGCAGTATATTACAGTGGTCTAGAAAAAAAAAAAAAAAAAAAACTTTGTCAGACAAATTTTAAACTTAAACAAGTTTAGTGTTTTGGTCTTCCCTCATATTTAAAATATTAAAAAAAATAGAAAATATTTTCCTTATATTTTGAGATGGTCCTCACTGCAGAACACGAAATCCAGGGGGAGGAGTTGGATCCAGATCCTTACATATACCTAAACATACCCATCTCCGCCCCCTGATCCCTAACCCCACCCCTAATCCTACCCATCTCCACCCCTTTAAAATATTTATTTGGATATTTTGAGGATCATTAAAACCAAATATCCCCTCTGAACATCACTTTTTGGACACTACTACAAATGATATTTTATATAAAATGAAGTGAAATTGTCAATACACAGTATCTGTCTGATTATATTGTATTTATCTGGACATTGAGTGTCATTACTTGTATGAAAATGTTAGATATTTTAATATTGTGTCAGCGCTATTGATGCTGCCATAAACAATAATCTCATTACTTTAGTCATTCTCGAGTCATACAGTTCAAGTCAAGTCTCGAGTCATTAGATCTCAAGTCCTTAAATTTGTCAACAGACTCGAGTCCTCTACCTCTGATTATTAATAATTATCATAATTATCATTATTATTATTTTATAAAACAAGTAAAATGACAATATTAACATTTATGGTTGACTTAATTCCATTACGAATTTCGGGAAGATGGTTGGCTCATGTTGCGCTCCCAGATGCGACTCAAACAAAGAGTAACATTTCCTGTGAACCGAAAGTGAAAATGACAAAATGACAGAACATTACTTTCTTTGAGCATCTGAACACTGACCTTGAACACCTGGCTACGGGGCGTCTTGTTCCCGTTGTAGCACATGTCACTCCCGTTGTTTGGGGAGGACGGTCCCAGGCAGAACACATGACAGAAGATCCGGATAATCCGGAGAAAACTCTTTGTTTGGACCTCGAAGTTACTGGACAAGCTGAATTAAACAGTGAGAAACAGATTTGAGTAAAGGAAGGCCTAAAGAAGAGGAGGAACTTCATGAAAACTGTGGATAACGCAGCTGCACCTCAGCAGTTTATGTCCGTTTGTGGTGGCCACGTCAGCCAAGCTGGTCAGGATACTTTGGTAGTTCGAGTCGTTTTGCTGAGAAACATATTCTAGAACCTGCCGTAGCTTAGAAATAATGAGGTTTAATTAGTTAACTACATTAGTTAGCATGAATTAATAATGTAATCACTTCTACAGCATTTATTAATCTTTGTTTACGTTAATTTCAACATTTACTAATACATTATTAAAATAGCAATGGCATTAATAAACGTTATACATCTTAACATTTCACTTTTAATAAAACTTTTGCTGATAATTTACTCGCCCCCATGTCATCCAAGATGTCCATGTCTTTCTTTCTTCAGTCGAAAAGAAATTAAGGTTTTTGATCAAAACATTCCAGGATTTTTCTCCATATAATGGACTTCAATGGGGTCCAAACGGTTCAAGGTCCAAATGAGAGTTTCAGGGCAAACTGTTCAAAGGGCTTTAAACGACACCAGACGATGAATAAGGGTCGTATCAAGCGAAACGATCACTCATTTAATAAATAAATAACAAAGTTTAAGTTTTATAAGCTCAAATGGTCGCCTTGCTCTGTTCTGTGATCATCCTGTTCGAACTCGTTCATCAAAATGAACAAATCTTTTTTCGAGTCATTTGGTTCATTTTGATGAACGAGTTCGAACAGGAGAATCACGAATGCGCATCACAGAACAGAGCAAGGCGACCATTTGAGATTATAAAACTTAAACTTTGTTATTTATTTATTAAACGAGCGATCGTTTCGCATGATAAGACCCTTATTCATCGTCTGGTGTCGTTTAAAGCCCTTTGAAGCTGCACTGAAACTGTCTTATGGACCTTGAACCGTTTGGTTCCCATTGAAGTCCATTATATGGAGAAAAAATCCTGGAATGTTTTTATCAAAAACCTTAATTTTTTTTTCGACTGAAGAAAGAATGACATGGACATCTTGGATAACATGGGGGTGAGTTTTTTTTTTTTTTAAAGCGAACTACTCCTTTAACATGAACAAACAATGAACATCTGTATTTGTATTAACTAACATTAACAAAGATTTACAAATACAGTAACAAACGTATTGCTCATGTTAGTTCATATGTTAACAAATGAAACTTATTGTAAAGTGTTACCAAAATAATATTCAACATGTAAACAGGCATTTAGGTACATAAACGTATGGAGAAAGATAGATGAGGAAAAGAGAGGCGTACCATGTTTTCTTTAATGTCGTCGTTCTGGGTCATCTGTATGAGCGTCTGAAAGAGTCTGCTGTGGTGCTGGATGAGAATCTCACATGTCTCCCCATAACCACCCTGCAGTCACACACACACACCAGCTTTAGTGTCCTGCGTGCGAGTACCGCTAGCTAAAACTAAAACTAGGGTTGTAACGAGATATGCAAACAATGTGATTTGCTCCAAGACTCAGCTTACTGTATTTATAAGGTATAAATCGCCGCAAAATTTTAATTCTGTCATCATGTGCTCACTCTCATGTCGTCTCAAACTTTCTCAAACTACGACTTTCGTTCAGCTTTCAAACACACATAAAGATATAGTTTATAAAACCTGAGAGATTTCTGTCGCACTATTTAAAGCCCGTTTCTCTAAAACGTAAAAGATCCCAAAAAATGTCATAAAGGCATCGTAAAAATAGTCGATTGAGTGGTTTCATCTAAATTAAGTCTTCTGACGAGACACGACGGCTTTATATGATGAACAGATTCACAACGACACGCAGACTGTAGTGAGTTTCAGTGACACTACATTACACTACTTTATGAACAATGTATAATAATGCACTTGGGGAATATTTGTGGGTCCTGATAATAAAATAATAATAATCTTATTTTAATAAGATAAGTAATGATCATAACCTCTCTTCTTAATTTTGGCTTAAAATATCACAATAGCATCTTATCGTGAGTTCAGTCCCATGATTTGTATCGAATCGTGATGAGTATATCATAACCCTAACAAAAACTATTAAAACATTAAGATACTATTTCACTGTAAACTGAAATTAAGCTAAAATAAACTATTATATAAACATTTGTTGAAAAAGTTTAAACTAAAATTAGAAATGTTGCCTTTGCAATAAATAATAAGCTTAACATGAAACACAAAAACTATTACCTGGAAATAAAAACAAAAACTGAAATAAAACTAAAAATGAAACTTAAATAGCAATATATATATATATATATATATTACATATTCGTATTGAACCGTTCGGTACGAGGCTTTCGGTTCAGCACTCATTGCAAATCGGTGTGACCAAATTTTAATAATTATCATATAATGTTATTTTTAATGTGATGACCAAAACAATATTTGTTCATCCTTCAAATATTATCCACATTTATAAAAGTTTCAAGATTTAGGAAATCTCACACTTATTTAAAAATTATATATATTTAAAAAAAAAAAAAAATCAAAAACTGTATCAAAAACGTACCGAAAAGTGACACCACTGTGTCATATCGAAACAAACCGTGAGTCTAATCCGGGCTAGGGTTTATTTGGGCGGGTCTGAGCAGGGTTTGAGGTTGATTTGGGGGGGGGGGTCTGAGCAGGGTTTGGGTTGATTTGGGGGGGTCTGAGTCGGCCTTGGGTTGATTTGGGCGGGGCTTAGCCGGGCTTGGGTTGATCTGGGCGGGTCTTAGCCGGGCTTGGGTTGATTTGGGCGGGGTCTTAGCCGGGCTTGGGTTGATCTGGGGGGGTCTGAGCCGGGCTTGGGTTGATTTGGGCGGGGTCTGACCCGGGCTTGGGTTGATTTGGGCAGGTCTGACCCGGGCTTGGGTTGATTTGGGCTGGGTCTGAGCCGGGTTTGGGTTGATTTGGGTGGGTCTGAGCCGGGCTTGGGTTGATTTGGGCGGGGTCTGACCCGGGCTTGGGTTGATTTGGGCGGGTCTGACCCGGGCTTGGGTTGATTTGGGCTGGGTCTGAGCCGGGCTTGGGTTGATTTGGGCAGGGTCTGACCCGGGCTTGGGTTGATTTGGGCGGGGTCTGAGCCGGGTTTGGGTTGATTTGGGTGGGTCTGAGCCAAGTTTGGGTTGATTTGGGCGGGTCTGAGCCGGGCTTGGGTTGATTTGGGCGGGTCTGAGCCGGGCTTGGGTTGATTTGGGCGGGTCTGAGCCGGGCTTGGGTTGATTTGGGCGAGTCTGAGCCGGGCTTGGGTTGATTTGGGCTGGGTCTGAGCCGGGCTTGGGTTGATTTGGGCGGGGTCTGATCCGGGTTTGGGTTGATTTGGGTGGGTCTGAGCCAAGTTTGGGTTGATTTGGGCGGGTCTGAGCCGGGCTTGGGTTGATTTGGGCAGGGTCTGACCCGGGCTTGGGTTGATTTGGGCGGGGTCTGAGCCGGGTTTGGGTTGATTTGGGTGGGTCTGAGCCAAGTTTGGGTTGATTTGGGCGGGTCTGAGCCGGGCTTGGGTTGATTTGGGCGGGGTCTGAGGTGGGCTTGGGTTGATTTGGGCGAGTCTGAGCCGGGCTTGGGTTGATTTGGGCGAGTCTTTAGCCGGGCTTGGGTTGATTTGGGCAGGGTCTGACCCGGGCTTGGGTTGATTTGGGCTGGGTCTGAGCCGGGTTTGGGTTGATTTGGGCGGGTCTGAGCCGGGCTTGGGTTGATTTGGGCGGGTCTGTGCCGGGCTTGGGTTGATTTGGGCGAGTCTGAGCCGGGCTTGGGTTGATTTGGGCGAGTCTGAGCCGGGCTTGGGTTGATTTTCGCTGGTCTGAGCAGGATTTGGGCGGGTCTGAGCAGGGCTTGGGTTGATTTGGGTGGGTCTTAGCCAGGCTAGGGTTGATTTGGGCAGGGTCTGACCCGGGCTTGGGTTGATTTGGGCTGGGTCTGAGCCGGGTTTGGGTTGATTTGGGCGGGTCTGAGCCGGGCTTGGGTTGATTTGGGCGGGTCTGAGCCGGGCTTGGGTTGATTTGGGCGGGTCTGAGCCGGGCTTGGGTTGATTTGGGCGAGTCTGAGCCGGGCTTGGGTTGATTTTCGCTGGTCTGAGCAGGATTTGTGCGGGTCTGAGCAGGGCTTGGGTTGATTTGGGTGGGTCTTAGCCAGGCTAGGGTTGATTTGGGCAGGGTCTGAGCCGGGCTTGGGTTGTTTTTGGCGGGTCTGAGCCGGGCTTGGGTTGATTTGGGCGAGTCTGAGCCGGGCTTGGGTTGATTTTCGCTGGTCTGAGCAGGATTTGGGCGGGTCTGAGCAGGGCTTGGTTTGATTTGGGTGGGTCTTAGCCAGGCTTGGGTTGATTTGGGCGGGTCTGAGCAGGGCTTGGGTTGATTTGGGTGGGTCTGAGCCGGGCTTGGGTTGATTTGGGCGGGTCTGAGCCGGGCTTGGGTTGATTTGGGCGGGGTCTGAGGTGGGCTTGGGTTGATTTGGGCGAGTCTGAGCCGGGCTTGGGTTGATTTGGGCGAGTCTGAGCCGGGCTTGGGTTGATTTTCGCTGGTCTGAGCAGGATTTGGGCGGGTCTGAGCTGGGCTTGGGTTGATTTGGGCGGGTCTGAGCAGGGGTTGGGTTGATTTGGGTGGGTCTGAGCCGGGCTTGGGTTGTTTTTGGCGGGTCTGAGCCGGGCTTGGGTTGATTTGGGCGGGGTCTGTGCCGGGCTAAGGTTGATTTGGGCGGATCTGAGCTGGTCGGCCATGATGGTAGGAGACGCCATCGGTTGGGGCAACACCTTCAGAACTTCACAGAGGTACGACTAAACATTCCAGAAATAGCGAAAGAGAGACAGCGCAGTATTTGTTTACATTTTAGCGATACGCCGCAGCTTCTTTGGAAGATATGGAGAAGGAGGAAATGAAAGGGGTATTATTTGAAGTTTTACGGTAAGCTATGAATGAAGAGTGATGAGGCTCCAGTAGGAGTGTGTTCACCTGCACACACAGGTCCAGCGGCGTGACCCCGTTCTTATCGGGCAGATACTTGGCTCCTCTGAGCAGCAGAATCTGAGCCGTGTCCCTCTGACCGTGACTAAAACACAAAGACAAAAGCTTGACAACCACACAATAGCAATATCTTCCTTCCATGTCAACAAGTTTTGATCCCTCCTCACTTTGTTCACTGCAAGTAAAAGTACTGAAATGTGGAGTTAGACCGTTTAACAGTTTTTCACCTTTGCAATTTTACGGATTGTTTGGGCGGGGCTAAAACAGGGCTCGATGACGCACTGAAGCCCATGAGCTCCTGGACACGCCCCTATTTGATGACGCACAGAGTCTGATCTCTCCCCTAACACACAATAACAAACAGTCCCCGAGCACATTCGCATTCACCGCTCAATCACGAGTGACTGTCAGTACAACTACAGCTGAGCCTACAGTTTTCTAGCTAGCTATGCCTTCGACACAGAAATGCATAGGCTACTACCTGGATGCGATCATGTACAAAACAGATCGGTATCTTCATTTAAATTCCATAAAAATGATCACATCAAGAAGAGGTTTTTAGAGAGCCAACCTTGATGAAGAGCTGAGGATCACCGCCAACACCCGCCTCTGTAGTGATCATTTTACACAGGATAGTTTTATAAACTTTCCTCAGAGACAACTGGGATTCACTGATGATCCGCTGTTACTGGTGAACGGGGCCGAAACGACGATCTTCCGCCTCAGTGTTCATCCTCCCGTCGCGAAAGCAGTTTCACCTAATATCACCGTCGACAGCTTTCCCGCGAGTGGGCGTGGTTTCAGCGCAGCCAGCCGACACGCCACCAGCGTTTGAGAACAGAGATAACGGCTCATTTTTTTCAAGATTTTGATAGCTTATTTTATGTACTTGCCGGCTTTTTATCATTCAAATTTGGCTGGGTGGCTAATAACACATTTTTCTGTGGTGTGACAAACTCAGAACACATACTTAATTTTGACTTTACAGGGACTTTAAATATTTTAATGGAAACTTATTTTTACAGATAGTTACATGAGGCAAATCAGTTAGAATCAAGCTATTGGATTATTGAGGGTAAATGTCATATTATGCGACTACGCTTTACTTTACGGAAAGCTAACGACCTACTAGCTACCTACTAGCTGCTTTGAGAACTAATGGGGCAAACAAATGTGTTTTCTAGCTGCTAGTTGTTACAAAGTCTCAAGTGTGGACTTTGCAAATTGTGCCATGTTGCAAAGCATTCCCATCTCTTGTGTTTTTATTAACAACGTCATCATCGATTAGTCCACTCAGATGAAACAGATGCGTATGGTTCATTTACAATACACGAGATTCACAAAAGCCGCTAGCGAGTATGAAATTAGGGACAGAGCAGACCCAGAATTCATGTTTTAAAACCGATCATCCGTACGTTTAATTACTCTTTCTAATTATGTGTTGTGAGGCATGTTAGTGTTGATCACATCATCATCAGCCTTGAGTGGACTGATATCAGTAATCAAAACAAGATGATGAGTGCGGTTGCTCGGCAACCAAAGCAACGTTTCCTTATCAGGACGATTCGTATTACAGCACAGAAACATCAAATCTCTTGTAATTCTCATTAAACTCACAAGAAAGCCCAGTGTTAAAAGGTTATACAGGAAAGACATCTGTTCAAACCCCTAATTACCATAATTATGTTTCTTGTGCATTCAGAAAACTGTCCAGATTCAGTTACTGAAAGGAAGTTGATTTTCTTGAAGGGGTCCAATAATGCTCCTTTCACAAGTCTCGGATGTCCCCAGAGGGTGTATGTGAACTTTTAGCGGAAAATACCCCACTGATATTATTTAATATAGCATGTTAAAATTGGCACTTTTTGAGAGTGAGTAAAAACGCTCTGTTTTGTGTCTGTCTCTTTAAATGCAAATGAGCTGCTGCTCCAAACGCAGAGGGCGGAGCTTTAAGAGCTTGTGCGTGTGTGTGTGTCTCTGAAAATTTCAAAAACGTTTAGCCCAAAAAAATAAATAAATAAAAAAATAAAAACGTTTAGCCTTTTATGTTTAAACCGGAGTCAACAAAGATGGAGAGACTCAAGAAGGGACAACATGTAGAATGAAACAGTACATTTCTGAATGCTTAGTTGATGAATTTACGTAGCTGATGTGGAGTTAACGATCTTCTAGTCCTTGATTAGCATATTCTGTCCTGATAATCTATAAATCGTGTTCCCGGGGGCGGGGTTAATGTAAATTTTAGGGTTAGTGATGTCAAGAACTACAAGAAGCTCGTTGTTGTAGTCCTTAAAAAGTGATTTCTGTAAAAGAAAATATCTCCCTTTCTTTGAGCTTTGAGCGTCGTACCTTTGCAGATGTTGTTTATGCTCAAACAGCAACATTACACACTATCTAAAGTTAAATAAAGTGAAATCATCATCAATCAAACTTAAAGGGGTCACATTCTCACTGATTCTAACATGATCACCTGCAGGCGAAGTAGAGAGGAGTCGCTCCAGACACATTGGGCCTGTTGATGTCCGCTCCACTGTCCAGAAGACACTGCACTGTCTGTGGGAAACAGCACTTCATACCATTAATAAAAGGACTCTCAGTTGTAGTGTGCAACTGTGGCGGACAGACAGGTTTCGTACAGTCTTGTGTCCGTTCTGGCAGGCCACGTGTAAGGCTGTCTGGCCCATGGCGTCCTCCACGTCCACATTCGACACGTGCTGGACCAGGTCATGAAGAAGCTCAGTCCTGCCATTCACTGCCAGCCAATGGATCTAAACACACCAGAGGAACAACGTCATATCAGGGATTGATATTATTGGGTCATTCTGTGTCAACTCAACCGGACGGTCGCCAGCGAAACATTTAGATTTAGACTTAATATTAAAATACAAAATATTAAATGTCATGCATATATGAAGAGTTCAGATGCAAAAGCCTCTAAGTGCCATTTGAAATATTCCTCTAGAATGATCATTTTTATCAAGCTTTTATATTTAAGTTCAGTGATTTCACTTAAATGGCAATGATAATTACCTATTAATTGTTATTTAAGTGAAATTAATGAACTTAAATATACAAGCTTGATAAAAATCATCATTAAAGAAGAAAATTTCGAATTGGCTTTTGCATCTGAACTCTTCATATATATATATATATATATTCATTTGTTAACACTAGTTAATGAATTAACTAACATGAACTAACACTAAGCAATGCATTTGTTACAGTATGTATTAAACTTTGTCAATGTTAGTGAATAAAAATACAGCTATTCATTGTTTGTTCATGTTAGTTAACAGTGCAATAACTAATCTTAACAAATAAAACTTTTGATTTTAACAATATATTAATAAATGTTGAAATTAATAATAACTAAGATGAATATATATATATATATATATATATATATATAGTAAAACGTTGATATTTATATAGATAGATAGATATACATACATATATTTATACATACATTTATATAGTTTTTCGTTTTATAAAATATTTGAATTCTATATTACAATAATATATACAATATATTAATTGTCAGAAAGTGAAGGAGTGAGGATAATAATAATATTTGTTGTTTTTGCCGTCTGAACTGTGCAGATTGATCATCATACTCACAGCAGTGAGACCTTCATTATTGCAGATATTAACGTCAGCGTTGAACTCTAACAGTCTGCCCATACACTTCTTCTGTCTGTGAAAATATAAGACAAAATATAATCATGGGTCTCACCGTAAATCTATTCAAAATTACTGATCAGTTTGCAATGCACACAAATGGTCAGGCTACAATTATGCATTATAATAATGGATAATAATGCATGTGAATTCCAGCAGGTGGCAGCACTGCAGGAGTGTGTTAACCGCGTGTTTACCCGTTTCTGGCCGCCAGATGCAGAGGTGTGCAGCCGGAGATATCCTGATAGTTCGGATTCGCTCCACGCTTTAACAGCAGGACGAGACACTCTACTGATCCACAACTGAAACAAGAGCAACATCTCAGGAGAACATATTCAATCTAGGTGATTGGAAAACACTTACACCACTGGAAGCCCCTTTTATAAGACGTAATATAAGTCTCATGTGTCTGTGAAGTTTCATTCATCAGATCATTTATTATAGCATGATGTAAATGCCCATTTGTGAGCTAAAGCAAACATAAGCAGCTTTCGTGCATGTATATTTAAATGCAAATGAGCTGCTGCAAAGATTAACCATCATAGAGTGGATGTTGATGTTTAGGGGCGGAGCTAAGCTAATAGAGCAGATCATGTGCCCGTTGTGGGCGGGGCCTTAGCATATGTGATGTCACAGTGGAACACATTCCTGAACGGCCCATTTTGAAACACTGTTTCAGATTCATGTGGAAAATAACAAATGGAGTGGACCACAATAGTGTGCGCACACTGCAGACACGTAATTATGTTCAAAGACGACATGAAGGTCAATTTTGCATAATTTGCATAATAGGAGTTTTCAGAAAGATATATTTAAACAGTGGTGGCAGAACAGGGAATGCAAATGTGGTTGTGTCAATTCTGTAATTTTGTGAGAATGTGAAAGGAACGAAATGACTTACTTGGCAGCAATGTGTAGAAGGCTTCTTTTAACACGTCCAAAGGCGTAGTTGACATCAAACTTTGAGTTCAAAAGCAATTCAGAAACTGACCTATAAGCATAAATAAAAATGGCAAAAACAGATTTAGCATTCATTAGTGTGGCCAAGAGATAGAGGAGTTTAATTATGATCCAGGTCACAAAACCCATCGGATTAACAGTGGCACTCACCTGTGCTGGTCCGCCATGACCATGGGCATGAGTGTGTACACAGCGGTTTCACTGTCTGCAAGAACACAAAGACAGATTTTAAATACTATGGAAGTCAATGGGTGCAGTTTGGGCCTTTGTGTTCAGAAGAAAGAAACTCATACAGGTTTGAAAGAACTTGAGGGCGAGTAAAAGATGACAGAATTTTCAGTGTTAAGAGAACTATCCCTTTAAGGGCACATTTCATTGATGGCCATTGGTGTGAATGATATTTTTAAAACACTTTTTTTTTTTTTTTTCGATTTAGGGAATGCATTAGTACGGAAGCCCTGAACCGCAACCTAAAAAAAAATAAAAAATCTGTAAAAAAAAAAAAATCTGTAAAAAAAAAAAAAAAAAAATCTAGCATTTCGAGATTAAAGTCGAAATGTTTCGAGATTAAAGTCGAAATGTTTCGAGAATAATGTCGAAACATTGTGCATTCATAACAGTGCGCGTCCACTGGCTCAGAGCGCGCGCGTGAAGTCGAACTGCCATGGATAAACACAAAATAGTAGCTTTTTACTTTTATCTGAATTACTTATCTTACTTTATCGTTATAAAATATAATGCGCCGGAATAGACTTTAGCCTATAGGAAAACCAACACGGAAAACACTTTTCAGACTGGATGGAGAAATCCAGCTTTATGAATGAATGAATGAATGAATGAATGAATGAATGAATGAATGAATAGGGCATTTATATAGGCTTTCATATATGCCTACACTCAAAGTGCTTTACAATCATATCAGAAAATCTCTCCTCAACCATAAGTGGTTATTAAATCTTAGGAAATCACAGGATCCGGCCAAATGATTGGATACAGAATGATGCACTTAAAATGTATCCAGAGCGTATTTACGTTGAAGAGGGAGACCGAACAGTTACTGTTGTGTTCTCGACCCAGATAGTGTTAACTAGACGAGCACGAAAACACCTCAGAAACACTGCCACTAGCACGTGTGACGTGTGTAGAATTTTGTTGAAAGCCCAGATAAAAGTAAAAAGCTACTATTTTGGGTTTATCCATGGCAGTTCGACTTCACACACACAGACACGCGCGCGCTCTGAGCCAGTGGACGCGCACTGTTATGAATGCACAATGTTTCGACTTTAATCTCGAAACATTCCGACTTTAATCTCGAAACATTTCGACTTTAATCTCGAAACATTCCGACTTTAATCTCGAAACATTTCGACTTTAATCTCGAAACATTTTGACTTTAATCTCGAAACATTTCGACTTTAATCTCGAAATGCTAGATTTTTTTTTTTTTTTTACAGATTTTTTTTTTTTTCACAGATTTTTTTTTTTTTTTTAGGTTGCGGTTCAGGGCTTCCGTACATTTGTTACGTCCTAGGACGTAGTGTGTTTTGTTATGTGATTTTTCTAATTTAGTGTTGTGATTTGATGTGTGTGCAGTTTGTTCCTCCCTCTTTCTTTCCCCTCTCTCTTTTTCTCTCCCTCTGTGCAGGCCTTGATTGGGTTCAGCTGCGGCCGATTACGATGAGGAGCGGGAGCGCTTAAAAGCGGAGACAGACTGCAGTGAGAGAGAGCTCCTTAGAACGCGCGTCGCGGAGGTCCGTGGTCCTTGTCTCCTGCCCCAGACATGTTGCTGAGATCAATAATGTTGATGTTTTGATCTTTTAGTAAGTTTTCCTAGTGGGGAATACTCACGGTGTGTTTTAGAGGACACTTTTTCTCTTGAGTTGAATGTCGTAAGTTTATTTCCTTGTTACTGATTTGTACTTGTTTTCGTTTATTTTGTTTTTGATTCATGTCATTAAACTAATGTTTGAATGTTTCTTTAGAAAGCCGTAGGGAGGAGGTTGCCATTCTTTTTTTTTTATTAAACATTTTCTCTTGGTTATTTACTAGTTAGGGAGTAAGGGAAGTTTGTTGTATTTTCTTTGGGGATTTTCATTTGTTAGGTAATTTATATTTAAGTCGGCGTTAGTTAGAATTCATTTTGGTTTGTAATTTTGGCTTGAACCCCTCCTGAAGATTCACGCTTTCAGCTTTCTTTATTTCTGCGTAAATAAAAAAGCTTATTCTTTTGACACTATATTCTGGTGTGGTACTCTGTTTGTGATCTTGGACAGGAGAGGGGATATTTATATTGTTTTATTTGTTATTGGCGTTCCTAACCCTGGACTAGGAGGTCGTAACACATTTTATAATGTGTGCAGTGCTCCCTGTTTTGTCTGTTTGTTTGAAATTGTCCCTTAAATTATTGCAGTGTCCATTTTTAAAGTGAGTTGGTCAGGATGATCTATATCCGTATACATTTTTTTTGTGTGTGTGTGTGTGTGTGTTAGTTTGATTTTAGATTTAATTTAGGAACATCATAATGTTATTTTCTACTGTAGTGGATATTTTAAACACATTACTTTAAGTGCCCTCTCTTGATTTTATCTACAATAACCAATTGTCAAGAATTGATCATTAAATTTGTTGGGTACATTGTTAAGATTTACAATATTTTTATGATTTCTGTTCAAATATATTTAGATTTGAGGTTAACCTCATTAAGAGAATAACATGTGGTTGGCCAGACCAAGCCCGGCATTGAAATAATGCTATTGCTAATTAGGGCTGTCAAACCATTAATCGCGATTAATTGCATCCAAAATAAAAGTTTGTGTTTACATAATGTATGTGGGTGCACTGGGTATAATTATTTTATACATGCTTAAGAAATATTTTCATGTATATACTGTATATAGATTTATATGCATATATAATTTATATTATCTATAAATATTTTATATATAAATCATATTTTTCTTAAATATACAATCATGTGTGTGTATTTACATATAGCCTATACAAAATAATCATACACAGTGCACCCACATATATTATGTAAACACAAAGGTTTTATTTTGGATGCGATTAATCGTTTGACAGTCCGAATAACTGAAAAGAAATTGTCAACTATGTTGACTTTTAAGTAGAGCAATTCATAGGTAACACATAGACAATATAGCCTATATTAAATTGTGAATAACTACAATGGTTATTCTCCTATCCTTTCACTGTATAGGCGATTTGATTATTTCGACATGAGAATGATCCATATACGCCTTTAGGTGTTTGGTAGTAATTGACCATATATGGATAAACCCGAATGAATGTGAATGGCCGTAGACAGGAATCCTTCCCGGAAGCAGAGATGATGACAATATATCCAGGGTCGCCTTGACAACTCCAGAAGTCTTCCGAAATTCGAATGTTCGTGAATAGAATGTAACGTTAATGTGTGACGTCTCACCTTCGGGGAGTTCCACGGTCCTCGCGCGACGCAGGGAACGCGTCAGTCGGTTCAGCTGTACATTAAAATGCTCCATCGCCCGTTCCATCATATGAGACGAACAACACCGAAATCAGCTCATCGAACTCTTACTCTCTCTCTCTTTCTCTCTGAAAAGCCAACGCCTCGATCTCTTCCATCGGCTGTCGGCTGATTCGCTCTGTCCACGACTCATTCCCCCGCACAATATCCCTCCATCGCTCTGTGATTCATTTTGGGACAATATTTCCTCATGGTGTCTTTCTTCCTGTTTTCATTGCAATGTATTTTGGGAAGTGTAGTCTTGGTTGGTACAGGCACGCATGTAGACGTGAGGGGTCAACAACATGACGTCATTCCAAATTACCAGGATTCAGAAAAAAAAGGATTCAGATTTTAAGACCTTCCTTTCTGACTGAAAAAAAGGATTCAGCAAAAACGCCATACAGCAAAAACTCTTTAAAAACTAAAATAGAAGTCACATACTACATGAGACTAAAATAACACATTTTCTGACCCAGATTTCAGTGGATGGGCATCAGTACTAAAAAAACTGAGAAATATTTTCCACTGAGAAGCTGACAAGCCCTTGATATCAATAGTCTGATTTATCTGGCAGGAATCTGACACCATCATTTTGAAAAGACATCACTTCATTTGATCTTTTTTCTCTCACTGTACCGTTTTCTTGTGTTATACTAAAGCCATTTTAATTCGAAAGATTACACAGTGAGTAAACACACACACACACGCATGTGCCTGTGAAGGTAAACATCTGTGAGAGATGGGAGGAGAGTCCATGCTGATGGATTTAACCAAGGTTGAGTGTCAGTCTCTGAGGAGATGAGCATGTCGAGCTCCTCGATGAAGTTGACCTATTGACCCGGAGAAGAAACAAATTTAGTAGGATGTACAATATAATATAACAGCACGACACACGTCACAGGATGTGATGATGTCATTAGAGTGTTCGGCTGTAACTCTAATAACTGGCTCAGTGGTTCATGAAGGTTTTCTACAAACCAGAAAGTTGGAAAGTCCCCGGTTCCACCTGACCAAGTGTCGAGGTGTCCATGAGCAAGACACCTAATCCCAGCTGTGTGTGTGACACCTAACCCCACCTGCTCCTGACGAGCTGGATGGCACCTTGCATGGCTGACAACACCGTCGGTGTATGAATGAGTGTGTGAATGGGTGAATGTGAGGCAAATGTAAAGTGCTTTGGTGGCCATTGGGTCTGTGAAAGTTCATTTACCATTTAGAAAAGTGTGCTGCCTCTAAAGCTTCACCGTTTGAGTGAAAACCAAACACACAAGAGTTATGTCTCTAATTGGCTAACGAACAAACAACTTTCACCTCCAGTGTCATTTGATCACTTTAGTAGTTAAACAGAGCTGGGAAAAAAAAGCAGGAAATCAACAGTTATCAAAAGTCTTATTTTTCTTGCAGTACTCAGTGTATCGACAGTTTCTGTCATTTCTTCATTTCAGCTAAATACATTTACGCTAATCATGTAAAGCTATCCAGGCTGAGTGTGTGTGTGTGTGTGTGTGTGTGTGTGTGTAAACACCAGAGGGCAGCAGAGCATCACTTCTACTCTCCAGACTGAGAATGTAAAACACCTCTCAATTACACATTTTAAACATAATATTCATAACAAAAACAGTTCAATAACATGTAAAAGGATATATATATATATATATATATATATATATATATATATATATATATATATATATATATATATATATATATATATATATATATATATATGATAATATGGGGGGCCAAACAGGAAATAATTAAATGTAATCCCGAATATATAGTTAAAACTCTGAATATATAAATGTAATCCTGAATAGTTACAACTCTGAATATATAAATGTAATCCTGAATATATAGTTACAACTCTGAATATATAAATGTAATCCTTAATATATAGTTATAACTCTGAATATATAAATGTAAATTCTGAATATATAGAGTAAAAACTCTGAATGTATAAATGTAATCCTTAATATATAATTATAACTCTGAATATATAAATATAAATCCCAAATATATAGTAATAACTAGTAATAACATACATAAATTAATGTAAAGCACTACTATTCAACTATGGTTGGTTTTAACAGTGCTAAATGCATAAACAAGACAAGATGATACAAAAAAGACCCGTTTCAGTCTTTATCTTCAGGTCTTTAAGCTGTATCCATGTTGGAAACACCTTTCACGTGACTCATTCTGTGCAGATTGAACACCAAATATTTCTGTGACTGCAAAAAGTAAAAGATAACAATAACCAGAGGCGTTTCCCACAGCAACATTTTGCCCAATCGAAAAAAATGTAAACCTCAAGGATTCAGAGTTTGTATTTTTTTCTGCATCCTAGTCATACAAAAATGAGTGTTTGATTAAAACCGGAAAGACATAAGAGGACGTTTGAGGTTTCACAATGGGATTCGAGCAAATTTTAAAACTTTTAATTCTTTCTTTAGGATTTAGACTTTTATTTTGAAGTTTTAACTCCTCTGAAGTAGTGTGTCATTCAGGGTAATCTCTATAGTTCAGATTAGCCAATAATAAAAGTCATGCAAGATCCGCATTTATTTATAACATAAAGCCATGCATTTGTTTGATCTGACTGATAATTTGGTGTAATATTTTTAAAACCACTCATCATAAAAGTTATATCATTGGAATGGTAAAGGAAGATGAAGAGGACTTTGAGGAAGAGGAGGAGGAAGATTATTATAGAGCTGGAATCAGAGGGAACATTTCAACAGTCTTTTCTGTCATCTCCAGTGTTTTGTCGGGTGAGTTTTTATTTTTAAAAACATAATGACCAAGTTTAAGAAAGAGTGTGTACGTGGAGACAGACAGTAGCTTTAAAGCACTGGCACCTGTTTGCATTATTAGCCTAAAGATCAGCTGGAATAATGACCATACTCATATCCACTTCATTGGCATTATTCATCCATCGGAACAGAATTTGTTTCTGAATGTTTCAAGTTTAGTTTAGTTGGAAACATATTAAGGTTAATATAAAAATATATATGTCTGAGACTGAGAGATGTCAGAATTAAGACATGTATGTACAGTGTCTATGTATGTTAATTCAAATGTTACACAGACAGAGTCAGTGATACACGCACGTGCTTCTGTTTACGTTTGGAGCTGTAAAAAAAATAAAATAAAAAAATATATATAAAAAAAAAAAAATATATATATATATATGCACAAGTTTAAAAGAATTAATATCCTTCCAAACACAATACGAAAAGTATGTAATAATTAAGAAAATATACAATTAAATAAATAAAATATGTTTATCAACTAAATCCAGCTAAATCCATCTTTTAATTTTGACGGGGCTTTTATATATTAGATTTGTCGTAAATTCGACTTTTATTTTGAAATCTTATTGGTCGCCCGAGCACAACAATGCCGTCATATTTCCGCGACAGTTTCCCCAGCGCTAGGATAGTGCTTTTATGACAGCAGTGTCATCGCTTCTGCTTATTACTTTTCTCTTATATTGGTGTGTTTTTAGAGTATCTTAATTAGACCATGTTGTCATGTTTGATAGGTCTAAATTATAATAATAATAAAGCCACCTGCCAAAATGAGGAAGTCGCATCTCATTGATTATAACACTCTAATAACACTTCCTCCTCACAAATAAACTCCCACGACCAGTGGCACTCGGTGCACTTTTGCCAGTTTTTATTAATCTATGTTTAGCTCCTGATTAGTGATATCCAGTGTGTTCGGGCAGGTTTTGTCAGGAGCTGGGGTTGTTTTAGAGCATCAGAGATGTTGAACGTGCCGTCGCAGAGTTTCCCATCAGCCGGATCCCAGCAGAGAGTCTCACCAGCCGGACAGTCCAGGAATAAGGTTTGTTGTCATTGATAATCAGTATTTAAATGCGTCTTTGTCTGAATGCAGTTGTAAATATGCTGTGTCTGTATGTGTGCTCATGTTTATATTACATTGGAAGGACCAAATGTCCCCAAGAATAGTAAAACGTGAATTCGCCTACATTGTGAGGAGGGAAATTGATTAATGAACATACTAAATTATGTTTTTTTTTTTGTTTTTTTAAATATAAAAGAGCAAAAAGTTTTCTGTGATGGGTAGGGTTAGTGTAAGGGGATAGAATATACAAATCATTATGTCTATGGAGAGTCCCCTCAAAGATAGTGGACCAGACGTGTGTGTGTGTGTGTGTGTGTGATGAATCCAGGTGGCACTGAAGCCCGGACACAGTCTGCTGGACTGGATCCGACTGACCAAGAGTGGCCGCGACCTGACCGGACTGAGAGGAAAACTGATCGAGGTGACCGAAGACGAGCTGAAGAAGCACAACACCAGGAACGACTGCTGGACCTGCATTAGAGGTACAACCTCACATATTTAAGTAGCACAATGACAATAACCATAAACTTTTTTGAGCAGCAAATCGGCATATTGGAGTGATTTCTGAAGGATCATGTGACTCTGAAGACTGGAGTAATGATGCTGAAAATACAGCTTTGATCACAGGAATAAATTAGCTTCATAAAGGACAAAAAGCGAAGCGAACTCTGTGAGCGACACTGGAGAGAGTGTGACTTTATTTAAACTTATATAAACTAATATCATTTATTTTACTGGACAGTTTAAAGCTCTTATTCTGTTGTTACGTGAAGAGTGCTGTGTTGCAGCATGCAGTATTTGTCCTGAAAAGGCTACTTAATGTGAGTTAATGTGTTATCTCAATAAATTTAAGGTCATTCCTATTTTATTTGGATACATTTTAATCATCAACTTTTAAAGCACACTCTTTTAACGACTATAAAAAATTCAAACAGAAAAAATGGAATTTGGAAAAAAAAACAAAAAAACAACGTACTGTAATTTTGGAGAAAATAAAACGGATTTCATAGGGCCCTACGATCCCGGGATGTGTTTGCGTTCACACTGAAAGCACATTTTATGTCAATTTCCCGGGACCAGCTGTGAAAGGGGCTTTTGTGTCAGGCTGTTACGTTCTCATGCACGCATGACTCCCTGTGTTTGTGTGTTTGCTGTAGGAATGGTCTATAACGTGAGTGCGTACATGGATTTCCATCCTGGCGGGGAGGCGGAGCTAATGAGGGCTGCTGGGATTGATGGCACTGACCTGTTTGACCAGGTGAAGTCCTTGTGTGCTGGTTTCAGGAAATACTCTGTTTTAATCTTAAATGCTTACAGTGTAAAGTCACTTGTACACTATTTATAGTTAGATGATAGTTTAT